ATAGGTAATTTATAGAAATAAAGTCTTATGAAACAATGCTGAATAAAGACATAATAATTGCTTGTATCTACAGAAAACGGTATGCAATGTGCGTAACGGCCCAACATGTAAACCCATTTTGATACAAAACAAATACAGTGAACAACATTTGCTACTGACAAAAGGAGCTCCTCAGAAATGGGTTTTATGTATCATTGTTTGGATAAAACAAACTCAGACGACATGTAATTGTACGACAACAAACCCTTTTGCCCGGAGGCAGTAGAGTGTGCCGCGATGACTTGTAATTCCGATGTTTTCGCTGTTAAAATCGTATTTCCTGAAGACGACATTGATCGCAGCCAGCGAGGCGAACACGAGTATTTCTAATATGCCCGGACAAAGCCCGGCTTCCAAACAATGCCTTCAGAGACTATTTAAAACGAATCCCTTGACGACACCTACGCACACAGCATCGAACTGATGTATGGACCAATGCACATACTTTTAGAGGCAAATAGATAACAGATAGTATATTCCTTTAATAAAAAAATGGTAATAGTATGTTTTAATTTTATTTGTTAATATGCACAACTTAATAATGATTGCTTTGAAAAAAAATTGTAGTATACCTTATTAAGCTAGATATACAGAAACATTATAAGGTAACATCACTCAAATGATGTCTTAAATACCAGTGGTAAACCAGTTCACAATAAACTAAATAATTGAACACTTTAATAATTATTTATTGCACTTATACCACTATAAAAATATTGAGTATGGTACTTATTTGTTACGACAAACTTCGATACGACAATATTTGCGATAAAAAAAACATTGTGCTGTAAACTTCCCACCTCCTGTGACTTGTACCACACAGGGCGGAAGCTCGCAGAACGCTTCGATGGGTTTAACCGTCTAACTATCGGCAATCCTTTACTAGTGTAAGCCTTTCACGCGCGATAGACCAGAAATATTATTAATATTGTCAAATATTTTGGCGGCTCTCACAATGCACCCTTTATCCCCTATCCCCAATTAGGCTCAAGAGAATATTGTCGCTCAACTTTCTGAAGATTTATCGCTTGTCCTGGATTAAAACATTTATTGTCAGTGAACAGAATAGGGGCACAAGTAAAAAAGTTGTCTGATATCCATTACAAAGATATTTTGTTAGTTGTTAGGAGCCGTGGTGGGCTGGCGGACAACGAACCGCTAAGTACGTGTCCACGGTACAAGGCCGTTCTTACATAATTTTGTATAATAGCCAAAGAATAATAACAATCAATACCTACCGAGATGTCTGACTGGAAATAAATGATCTGTCTCCGATATCTTCGGAGAGGTTTTTCTTGAAGGTGTGATAATGAGTGAGTATTATTGTACTTGTACTCATGCCTAGGACTGAGTTAGTTATACGTTGTCTCTGTCTTGATTTTGTTTCTTTTTTTATGATATCCTGGCTTAAATTTCCGGGTAGGAAAGTAATGAAATGAAATCGTTTATTCATAAACGTTGATTATATAAAGTTGTTTGAACGATTGACATACAGTGCAATACAGCGAGTCCGTCTATGTTTTGCCTAGAAGCATAAAAAAATCATATAAGTATTAGTAAGTAGATTATTATGTATTCAGAAAATAAAAATACATTTAAGTATCCACACAGGATCAAAACATTTATAATGGAAGTGATAGAAGATACCAATAACAGAACGGAATAACATAGGTAATTTATACCAATCTTTTTAGGGAATTGCACATCCGGCGTAACATAATTAAGCATAAATTGCTTAAAAATACCCTTTATTAAAATTTCATTCTTTATTTGCCAGAATATGGGAGAATATTTATAAAAGGAAAATGTGGTGTGCACACTGTGCATGCTCCAGCTCACTAATAATTTCAGTTTTACTAAATATGAAAATGGAGATTCGGAACACCACCACTTGAATACTTATTTCAAAACTAACTCAAGTTAACCTTACAATTCTCAACATAAGGAATTCTAAGTACTTACACCACGATATATATCGTGGTGTAAGTACTTAGAATTCCTTAGTGAACATTTGTATTTGTTCTTTTGTATTGTTTTTGTTTATATTATTATGTACGTACTACTGTGCGCTCTAAATTGTTTACTTTTGTATGAAATATTGTTTCTCAGTAAGTGAATTATGTATATGATTCTTTATGAGAAATAAAGATATTCTAAACTAAAAAAATATATCGACAAAAATGCGAGCAACACGACGGGGCACCTCACTAATACCGTACATTATTGTAATGTTACTCAATTGTTAGCTTTTTACGTCAAAGTCCACGTCAGACATCAGCCGGTGGAATCTGGACACAAATACTGTCCATTAATACACGTCAAGTAGCGAGATACTGAACTAAGATCACATCATTAATATTGAGCAGTGACTACAAGTAGGCGGCGGAGGATAAATTTCATGGAGAGCTTGCTTTTACCCTTTACGACTGGCAATCTATTTGTCAGAGAAAAGAAAATACATTGAAGAAAGTTGAGAAAGGAATCGAATCATTTGGATCTCCAGCGTCCTAATTGTGTCCCTAATGTAGTTACCACGTGCGTTATGCTCTCTAACGATGTCTATTTTATGCCTGTCCTTACCTAACAATGGTGTAACGATATCATTTTACTACGTAACTCTGAAGGTTTAATTATTGAGGAAGACATTTCTTTTTTTTAAACAGTGCAACACTGAAAACTTCTGATATATGTAGTTATTAGAGTTGCTGTAGATTGAGTCGATCGAAAATAGTTCCCACTAATAAATAGGCAAGAATCTCTTAAAATAATAAAAATCTCAGTAACTGATTCAATCATAAAGCTTAGCTTTATTATTATTTTTCTGAGAAATAAATTTGTACTGCCTCGTTGGCCGAGTGGTCGCAACTGTGACTGCCAGGCAAGTGGTCTCGGGTTCGATTTCCAGGACGGGCAAAGTAGGTTTTAAAAAAACTCAGTAGTAGCACGGAGTCTGGAATTGAGCCCGGTATATGGCAATAGGCTCACCCCTATTACATAGGAGTCATAACATAAATAGTAAAAAGTGGGTGTTACATTGTACAGTGGCATTAATTGCCGTAATGTACACTTCTGCCTGGTCTTCAAGGATAACAGGCGTGATGTTATGACAAAATTCAGTCTCATACAAAAATCATAGCCAAATATGATTTAGACATTTCAAAAAATGTGTTGAGCTTGATATAAAAATAATAGTATTGGATGCGATTAGTTGGACACTACCCCATTGTTTGAAAAGTCTAAATTATTTGAAATATCTACTTATGTACTTTTTGTATGTTATACTAGGCAATTCCTAACTCAAAGAAATTGTAAGCGGTGTTTACCTACTGAAATGTTTGAAAAACCCGAAAGTTGAAGTCAGTGACGTCAAATTGACTGCCAAGTAAGTACTAGTAAGTATACTTTCGTAATACATAGGTGTTTGATGTATGATTGTGAACCCACCCTGGGAGTAAGGAACAATTGGGATGCTGACAGGGTATAAAAATTAAAAATCTAATTAGTCCGTCAGTTAAGTAATGAAAAAATATGAGACACGTATTTTTTTTATTTTATCGTTTTATTTATTTTAAAACAATACTTAGATAAAACGAATCAAAGTTTAGGAGTGGGGGCTAAAACGTAATTTCTACGTATAAAATGTACATAGACGTGACGTCACGCGACATTTCAAATCAATATATCGTTGAAAGTACTCGTTTGTGTAAGAAAATCTACCAGACGAAAATTAACATAAAAATTAGACATCTACCCTTAGGTAAGACTTTACTTAAATTATTTTTTTCAGCTTTATGCTGAGTTTAATATAACTTTTTCAATAAGTCCAAAATAAACTTGATACAGGTAATATCAACAATTTTTTATAGTAACTATCGTGAGACTCACTAAATTAACTTAAAATCGCTAAAAACCAGTAGAGCTTTTATCAGTATTTTCACGAGAGTAACCCGCGAATTTTAGTTAATCAACAAAAATTTCGAAAATAATGACCAATTTTTTGCAGACCTACCATAATATACCATAATAAAGTGTGTATAAATTATGCAAGAGTTCTGCAACTACTGATTGAATTAATTGTGTCATGTTTATTTAGAACCGACTGGAATATCTGGTGATGTAAAATAAAAAATATGAGAGTCAACTCATAAAACTGAAAATAAATTCCATTCAGGTGAAAATTTTACTACACATACCTACACCAAATAATATTTTGCGCAGGTACATGGAACTGCAAACTATCCTTTTGCTGTAATAAATTATACACAAACTGTCCACTCACAATGCGCGCGCGCAGGCCCGGTACAAAGCGAAGCTGCTTCGGTCAACCCATTAGCGCGCGCGCTGCGGGGGCTCATGATCACTTTGCTCACTTTAATTTATGTACTTTGTGCCATTGTCCGGCAACAAAGCATGCGTTTTATAGCATTCGGCTGCCGGACACCCAGATTAACATCTATGCTCGGTATCGCCTTTCTCTCGTTTTGTGCAACACACAATGAATATAACCGGGCAGCCACCTGGCTATAATGGCTTCAACGTAGTGAATATTACAAAAAAACCCGCATACTTGCTTAATTTTTAAAAATAACTATTAGATATAGAAATAAACACAAGAATGGTACTATTGTTAACGTTTTTTATTTCGACTTTCCATGAACCTTAATAAATTAAATAAGTAGGTACAATTTTATTGGAACTGACGACATGATAGTATCTATTTAACTGACCACCTAGAATACGTGTATCCGAATTTATTGTTTAATATTACATTATAAATAAAACTATTTTTATGATTAATATTATGTAAAAAGTTATATAATAATAATAAGTATAAAAAAGAACACATCCTAATTAAAACATCAAAATTAAATTTAAATGTATTGAGCATAAAATCTCTACATTAAACTACCTACTAAACACTATAAGGTCATATATTCTATATATACCATCAGTCTCATTCACTACTCATTTTCTATCCGCATGTCCCCATCATCACCGACGGTGTTCCGTGCACTATTTACAAGTTCTCCATGAACCCTGACACGATACACGCAGGTGTACACAGTGTTGCCCCAGTTTGTCAGGACTCTTATCTTCACGAGATTGTGACCCTTAGGGGACGGGAACATCACCTCAAAGTACTGGACTGGCTTTCCATCTTTGTCATACTCAAAACTGCCGTAGTCGTGAGGGTACGGGTCATAACGCTTCTCCAGACCTTCGACTTGAAAGAGACGTGGAGCTGATGATATTTCTCTGCAAACAAAGTAAAAATTAAATACATTCGAAATTTACGTGGATCACCGCAAAGTAACTGGCCGTGTTTTGACACGAAGAACAGAAGGTCAAGCTTTATCCATGCATGCCTAGGTCAGCAGTGGACAAAAAAAACTTAATGCTACTTTTATATCTCACTTATAAATATAAAACCATTCGTCTTAATCGTAAATTAATTCAATAGTTCTTTTATCATCAGCATTTAGTGGTAGCTTTGTATACCAAGCAGTGGGTGAACCTGGGCAGAAAAGGGGAGAGGGCTATAGCCCTCTCCCCTTTTCTGCCATAATTTTAAGTGTAAAATCAACAAATTACCTCGTCGGTGCAATATGTGGTGGTATATGTTCAATGCTGATGCCGGTTATCCGCACGGTGCCAAGCAGACGTATCGTGGCCTCTCCCCTGGAGCCCTTAAACGCCCAGCATTCTCCTGGCAGTACACCTGGCCTGATTATAGCCCTGGCGCCTAGACATTCACGGCACATCCAAGAAGTCAGTACGTGCAGTGCCCAGCCGACTGGAGACTCATAAATCACGTGTTCCACAGTGTCTCCCGTGTCCAACACTCGTGCCCCTGCTGACTCCAGCGCGTAATCCGCTAACTGTTTACCAAAATATGTTTTACAAACTTTGTCAATCAGACAAAGTCAAAGACGAAACGAGTTTGTCTTCATTTGATGTTTCTAAATACTTGCGGAATGTCGTGTAGGAAATTGGCCTCTGAACTTAGAAGTACCAATATTTTAGGCCTCAAAATTTTATACATAGCAAAAAGAAACAAAACTTAGGAAAAAAAATCGAAAAGCAACATAAAACGGAAGCACGTGTAAAATAAAATATATGGAGATGATTGACAAAGATGTAACAGACACAAACAGTGGCTATCCGGGGTAGTGGCACACATGTGGCAAGGGGTAACTTGCTTCTACATACAACCTGTGCGGATGCGATGGTCGTAACGACATATTAAGTAGCTTTCAGTGTAGCGACTTAATATTTTGTGCAACTAGGAGCTACTATCAAAATGTTGCCTAATCTGAAATAATGCATTCAAGCTCGGCTTAGCTCTTTCTACAGACACAGTAACAAGCTATTCGCAATCAATTTCCAGATGACATGTACTCAGTTAGGATTTAATTTTCGGTATTTAAAAATTCTCAATAATAGCACCAAGTCTTACGTGGCTTTTTGGAATAAATGGCGTGATCAATGTTATAGTTAGATATTCACCGTTCAAAAATACCTTCTTGGTCTAAATCTGTTCTTTATCTCTTGGTAAATTGATTGATAAGGTTTAAACTTTAAGTAACTTGACTAAATGTACAATTTGATATCGTTTACCTGTCTATCGAAATCTGGAGCGTCTCCTATCTGCCTATTCCGTAGTCGCAGCACAGGATCGACCAGTGCGTCCTTGGCCCGGCCAGCCGCCGCAGCCACAGCGGGTAGCACCGAAGAGATGCGGTCCATCTCACCCTGCAGCCTCTCATGCTTGCGGTTTACCTTTAATATTTTCATAAGAAGTAACTAAAAATATACTTGGTACCGGATTAACCATGAAACAAGCTTGAGTACTCTAGAATGTTCTTTGTTGTGATCGTGAGTGTATTCATATTGTCCAACCAAAACCACAATTTATGGATGATACCTACAAATAATTTAGCCGTATCGAACCCGCGATACTTTTCGTAACAACAACCACTTCGCTATTCATGCAGTCGACTATATCATAATTTAAACCCCTTTCCATTGATTGCACGTTCATATTTGACAGCTGTTATTCCTTTCCGACGACTTTACAAAATCATTAGAATCAAGTAATTTTACGAAAATTAACCAACCGATACATTTAAAATTCAGTCTACTAACGCCATCTGAGTTCAATCGTCACTATTCGTGACAATAAAACAATCTTCGTTCGTAGCACCTCGTAGTACTATGAAATAGTGCGTAGCAAGTGTTAGTGCCGTCAACGCCATCTACTTTGGTGAATGTGAACTATTAGCGTCCTTGAAGAGCTTTTCACATAAATAGGTCGATAGACAGATACTGAGTGAAGTATTTCCTTATTTTTTGAAATATGTATTGAAGTTTTATTTAGTTATTTATATTTAATGAGGTATTAATTATTTTAATACAAACACAACAAAAAGGACTAGCGTCCTTCTATGTTTTTGTCATGGAAATTGTAATTACATTCCCACATTTAGGCGTTCTATCTCCTTGAACTAATATCTACTGCAAAAGATGGATAACAACCTCAGATAGTCCTCTGGTGAGCTGCATGACAACATATTTGATGTCAGTGAAGTCTCCGTCCAGAGTTTCTTGTGTGGGACCCCAGAAATATGCGTAGACATGTAGGCCCAGCAACAATGACAGTGCAACACACACGAAAGATCGGAACACGTTTCGGAAGCACCCGTCTTGTCTGCATCCATGATCCATAAATTATTTTGCTATTCAAGTAACAATTTTAATCCAAGACTATTGATTAATCTTCTGGTGAAACAGATATTTTATGATTTCTGAGGCTTGTCTAAATCGTTTCTTTTTAAAAAATTAGTATTATATTCAATCATAAAATAGTAAGACTTGGTTGTAATGTTGGATTATTTGACACTGACAATATCATAGTGAATTGTTCGCCTATACTTTCTCTTTGGTGAGCTGATAGCAGTGCTTTCTTGACTATAGAATGTTTTGCTCACTGATATGGTTTTGCTCAAAGAGTACCTATAATAAGTATAGTTTTGCTATAATTATTTTACTCTTTGATGTTTTGTAAACTACTATATGATATGGTTTGCTCTCTTTATGAAAAAACTGGTGTGAACCAAGTAGTTACATTTGAATTACACAACCTATAACAGTTGAAAGTGATATAACAATTTTATATAAAAAAAAAGCTCAGGTATAGGGTTTTATGTCGTGTATTAATACAAAATGGCTAAAACAGCAGATTGTTACATAATTCGTAACCACAAAATAATATTGGTACATACAACAGTATATTTGAGACATAAATGTTCAATACATACTTGCAAAACAGTCCTAAAGGAATAAATTATACTAACAAAGTATTAAAGTGGTGCCTAGAAGTGCACTTTCTAATACTTTGAACGGAATTTTAATGAAAACCAGAAATAAAGTTAGCAATAATTCAAAACTTTTGTGATAAAAGAATTACATGCAAATCTAGGCACCATGATTGCATGTTATGTAAAAATCTGCAGTAAACGAGTTTACGCTTTCTGGTTTTGGGTGGCGTATTCGATTTGTGCGGCGGCCACGGACTTCATAGCTTCGTGTGCGGACTGTACGTTACCGCGCCACGCCAGCAACACGTCGCGCAACTGTTGCCACTGCGCGCGACCGAACGTGCGGTGCATCGTACTCGACACGCGCACGATTCGCTCGTTCTGATCCATACGCGCGCGCACTAAACGGGTCTTCAACACTGGAAACAGTTATCACTTGTTAAATAAATTACATTTACCTCACCTCACACTTATAGAATAATGAGTCCTCGACGATTCGAGGAGGAGGAGGAGGTCCAAAGAGGTAGGATTGGAGGGAAAGTATCGACTTTCCCTCCAATCCTACCTCTTTGGAGAATGAAAGAAGTGAAGCTCAATATCAAATTGTACTTTGTAACATTTATAACTTGAAATTACCTTCAATGATGAATGCTTCAACATCTTTCTCCTCAATTTGGAGTTCAGAAATGATCTCATCATAGCCGAGTTCAGGATTGACTTCAGCCATTTGCATGAAGGACAATATCCTCATTTTCTTTACATTTTGTTCATGATCCAAGCCTGAAATTAAATCACAATTTTGTTTAGTAAACAATGTTGGTATTAACTCGTCGAGTACCATATTCATAGACACAATTAAAGAATAATAATAGGTTGTGGTCACCAGTGACCGCTCGGTGTTTGACAGTTTAAACAATATGTTAGACTTATTGGTTCAGTAAAAAAACACACACCTTGAGAATGAACAAATTCCTTATGATTCTGGTAGAAGGTTTGATAGCTAGACAGTTTCTCTGACACAAAAATGGTGAGCAGGTCATGGATCAGTTCACCTTCAAGGAATCGCACAGGTTTGAGGGACAGGAGGGGATCCAAAAGGAATGTAGTGGGATCAGCCAGTGCGGTGGAGATACATTTGATGGCATCCTCCCTTGCGTATGATGCATTTTCATCAGTGTATGTGCCCAGGAGTTCAATCATAACCTTTGAAGCCAGTTCACTGAAATAATAAATGTTGTCTTATTAATTTTCTCCCAGTTAGCCACTGATTTGACTTTACAAAATTATACATTATTGCATAAGAATAGTCTAGTATTTCTACATATATTACCTGTTCTGGTCTTTGAGAACTTGATGTAACAGTCTGTAGAGTTTTTGCATTTGTTCATTGGTGGGAGGGCAGCCGGAGAACTCTTTCCTCAGTTGCTCAACACTGGTGAAGACCTCACGCACATATCCAACTCGCGCTGCCAACTCTATGACGTGGTAATATACATGGTAACGGAGAGGTGAGTTAGCCTCCAAGTTATTGTATAAGCGCCACAGTCTGGAATATTATGGAATATTATGATGAAGTTTGTTATGATATATATATATAATGAGATTTGTTAAGTGTTGTAATAAATCTAAACAATATTATATCTTGGTGGTATATGGCAATAGGCTCACCCCCTATTACATGGGACTCATAACATAAATAGTGAAAAGTGGATGTTACATTAAAGTGGCATTAAGCACCATAATGTGCACCTTCGGGGGTAAAAGGTGTGATGTAATGTTATTTTATATCGTGGTAGGCTTGTTCTACCCCTGGTCCTGGGTCCCATTGTAGGGCTATCTACAATTGAGTAGGGTAGAGTGATTTGTATATTCTAACATATTATAAGGCACTACCTGTGCACTAATTGGAATGTGGCTAGAACTATCAATAAACAAAATTAGGCACTGTATCTAAGCAGTTGTGACCCATAATTATTAGATTAATCTGTCAAACACCAAGCGGTCACCGGTGACCGCGACCTATTGTTCTTTAATTGTGTCTATAAAACCGGTACTCGACGAGTTAATAAGAAGTAGATTAATCAGGGTAAAGTTATTTATAAAAAACATGACCATACCACTAAGTACTCAAGTAATGTCTTACTCAAATTAATCTACATTGTATGGCAAATGAAAATATCTCTGAACAATAATACATTGATTCTTAACTCAAAAACAATTGTACTTTTAATTACGTTTGCTAGGTTTGCATATGAATTATAGAGGACACTTACGCCTGTAGAACCACCATGCCAAGCTTGGGTCCTGGTGCCTTTGACAGCCTTTGACTGAAGGCTACAATCAAATTTTCTCCTCTCTCCAATGGGATCTGAAATGTAAATTGAAATAGTATAATAATACTGACACAGGAAAGTTTATTCTCGATAACCCGTTAACTTGACGATTAAGTCTGTAATAAAAAGACTTGTACCGAAAATATGTGTAAATACTCTTCTTATACTTTATATTTATTTATAATTATGTCAATTTAAATAACTTGACATCAAACTTCTTACAAGCCAGTGCACTTACCGACACCATGATGGACACAATACTGTTGAGAATAGCTTCAATCTCAGCTTCATTAGGTTCCTTGAAACAAACATCACAAACTCCCACAATTTTATGCAAGTCGTCTTCTATTCCCTTCGGAGACTTCTCTTCAGCTATCTCCGCACCAAGACTCTTGAAATATTTTCTTAGTTCTAGCGCCTGAAACCAGGAATATTTACAAATGCATCAATATTCTACATAATTTGTTACTTTTACCGAACACGGCTAGGTTATGTTGACGTAAACTTACTTGATCTTCAAGAGAAACATCCATAAAAACTGCTGGACCTTGCATTTTGATGTCTTTTTATGTGTATTCCTTTTACTTTAATTGAATCCTTCCCTGGAGGAGATATTATTAAAAAATACATGTGCCACAAGCAGTTTATGACACGGCACGGTGTTTAACAAGGGCTGTCACAGATAATATTTTGACATTTACGGTTCAATAGCAGATAATCGGTTTTTGAGGTATACCCGCTGGTATCAACAAAGCCTTATAGTCGGAAGGGTAAGTGTTAGGACATCACTAAAAACTTTCACTCATTACTCTATAATTTCAATAATCTGGGCCCTTGTTTATGATTAGATTTGACATTGATTGACATGTATGTAAAAATCTCTAAAGTGTCAATTTTATTATTTTGATTGAATGCATTTCTACTGACTGAATTAAAAATATTCATCAAATAAACAAGTTATTTGATGAATATTTTTCGTAAGCTACATTTGAATCTTCTTCTTCAAAATGAGTAGTTTTCATAAAACTAGTGATTCACGTGTGACTATCAATGGGACTAAAGTAAAAAACTGTTTGCCGATAATATCATCTGGTATTCCCTCTTTGGATCATGTAATTGGTTAGTAATCTACTATAATTTTTGCATGTAGATACAAAAATTAGTAATTTTAATTCATTCGATCACTAACACTAATAAATTACGTTGTAAACATAACCTAAAATGTTTGTCCCAATATGTCCAATAAACACTAACTAACACAGTATTTTAATCGTTTTGTGCTGTTACTGCAGTAATTAATACATGTTAAATATTGTTATAGGCGGTGGTCTACCTGCAGGAAGCGTATTTATTGTTGGTTTGTATACACAACACTTTTCTGTTTAACAATTTTCTTACAATATAGAACTTGATCATCAAACGTTGGATGTGATAAAAGTGTTAGATAACTAATCATAATTATTTTTCAGAGGAAGATGTTCTTGCTAATTACAGTAAAGTTCTCTTGAAGTATTTCTTATCAGAAGGCGTAGCTTGCAAGCACGACCTGTGCATTGCATCAGCTGATGAAGACCCAGCCAACATTGTAAGTAGCAAATCATTAATATTTAATCATTAATATGTTATGGCAATTAATACCTCTTATCCTATTTGAAGTGTTTTAGATTTTAACCCTTAATTTCAAATTATTAGTTTCTTATCAGAATATGAATATTTATTAAAGTTTAGTTGTATTAACTGTGTAATATATTTATTCTGTTTTTCAGGCCAAGGAGTTACCTTTACCAACAACAATTCCACAGGACGATGAAATCACGACAGCTGCTGCAGATGTAGATAAAATGAAAATAGCTTGGAGATATGAAGGGCTTAGCCAAGTGGAGTCCTCTTTTGGTAACAACACAAGTTTTGGTCACCATTTTGATCTGAGCAAACATATTGATGCCAAAACTATTGACAACCACAAGATACATTATTGTAAACTGGAAATTGAAAATAGAAGTGTAAATGGTAAGTTGTAAAATGTGTTTTTCATTTGACTTTTGAGAGTGTTTTATATTTAAAAAGTATTTTTTATGACCATACCAATAGCTTATCTGTTGATTAGCTTACTAGAGTACTTAAAATAGAATTTAAGCTGTCAAAAAATATCTGTATTTGCCAAATCAGCCAACACAAGATGAAATCATAGGATTTAAAAGTTGTTAATCTTGTTCCAGGTTTCAAGAACAATTTGTACCACAAATTATTAACTACTATTAAAGAATTAGTTTCTAATGAAGAATATCAAAGTAGTGTTAAGAAAAACAGTAATATCTTAAGGATTGGTGTACATGCGTTGGGATCTCCTACATGGATGGCAATGGACTGTGATGATGAAGCCAATACTGTTTATGGCCAAGATCTGATCAAGTTCATGTATTGTCTGAGAGTAATACTCAGGGACACCAATGCTGTGGCATTTGTAACCATTCCAGCTCATCTATTTGACGTAAGTGGCTTTCATATTAATATGTAGAAATTATATGTTTTGTAAGCTTGTTTTCTTTTACAATTTATTTTCGTGCGATCTTACCCACAGCTTAAGTCCTATTTGGTGCACCATGATGTTTTATGACCTATAACCTTCCCTGATAGATAAACCAACCAACACAAATACTTTTTTCAACTTAGTTTAGAGAACTCTTATATAAATTTACTTGATAATTATGTGCAATATTAACGTTTGATTCTTTTCAGGATGATCATGTAATGTCAAGGCTACTGTATTCAGTAGATAATGCTGTCAGAATAGAATCATTTGCTGGCTCAAGTAAAGAAACAAACCCAGTTTACAAAGATTATCATGGGCTGTTCCATATAACTAAGTTATCAGCTATGTATTCACTTGTACCATTTGTTCCGCCCAGTCTTGATCTAGCATTCAAACTAAAGAGGAAGAAGTTTGTCATAGAGAAGCTGCACCTACCTCCAGGTATATTTTAATCATTTCTGTGATTCTTTCTGATAAAGCTAATTTCTGATAATTCTTTTTTGAAACTGTTCTGTATAAAATTTTTATATTTTTAAACCGTCAAACACCAAGCGGTCACCGTTGACCGCAACCTATTGTTCTTTAATTGTGTCTATAAATACGGTACTCGACGAGTTAAATAAGTATATAAAACGAATAACCATTATTATTAAATTTCGTATTTTAACTCTTTCAGAACTCCAAGAAACAAAGGAACGGGAGCAAGATGACATCACAGGTGTACCAAATGTAAACTGCGGTGGTTTCAAAAAGAGAGACATTGAATTTTAATATAATATAATGTATTGTACAAATATTTTTGTAATATAATATACAGCTATGAATTGTTTCCAATGAGTATTAATTAAAACCTTACGTAATGCTATAGTTGTAATTAAACAGTAACGTTAGATGTCGCAATGCGCGCGGGTCTCCATAACGAACCTGTCTTTCCACAGTGTGTGGAGGCATGCCTGAGTGATTCATGCATTAATTTTATACAAAAATGCTTTAATACTCAGTCACCCCACCTGTTCACCAGAGCGTATCTCCCTAAAACCGGCGAATCTATTCATCGTCCGTTTGTTTATTCACATACTCACATTAGTAGTTGGAACTACAACACTTTGACCACATTTCTCCGTGTCGTATTACATCTATAGTGTTCCCTGTCCCTGTAGTGTCTTTTAACTGTTTATAATTTAAAAATGTGCAAAAATGAAACAAGTGCAAAGGTTCTTTTCGGATGTTTCAATACCATATTTTTTGTAAGTAATCTATTTTTAATTGTTTCTTTTCTATTGGATTTCGAATCCACATTGTTGCAATTTTTCTTCCTGGTGTGAAGGTTGCGAATACTTACAATGTTTGGAAATTGGCACAAATACTTGAGTAAGTAAATTGAAATGTGAACTTTATTTACAGGCATGTGGTTTTGTGGAGGTAATATGTGGGTTTCTATTGCTATGTGATTCGAAAAGAATATTGCTATCACGGTTACTGGCTGCTCCTGATGATGATTTGCTGACGCATCCACCGTTCTACTACCTGGCCCTCGGTCTACTGGCGGCTGGCCTGGCTATGTGTGCTACAGGAGCGCTCGGTTGTTGGGCCACCTACATGCCCAGTTATTCCGTCCTAAGCATTGTAAGTGGACTATAAAATTACGTTTACTGAGTACTAGGTGATATTTTTTAGAACACGTTTCGTTCAAGGTTAATGACATATATATTCGGCATAATCAGACAGATGTATCGGAAGCTTCAAGGCTTATTTTTGTTTTAAACTTATTTAATTGAACTGATAACACCATTAAACATACCTACGCAGTAGTACGCAGTAGGTACTTTGATACCACATCAACACCACGTGACAGACCAAATGAAATATGGGCCCCCTCTATATGAGAGCACACGCTTGGCAGACAAGTTGGGGAGAGCAGTTTAAAAGACTCTTAGTCAGCTCTTACTACTTATACCCGCGGAAACTCTTTGGTGACAAAGTATTTTACTGTGCCGTCACCACACGATTACAGATGAAAATAATTATTTTAAACTACCTTCGATTAATCCGATTTCAAGCACTGCTTTTTTTTTGAAGTCGGTTTATTAATATACTAAAACTTTATCGTAAGTGTAACAAATACTGTTCTAAAAGCCGCATCAAAATCGGTTCAGACAATCGCGAAATATTCGCGCACAAACATATAAATCAAACAGAGAATTCAAACAATTTGTTTCAGTATTTTCTGGTGGTACTAGCAATGTTGCTATGTCAATGCGCCGGCGGTGTTATAGCTGCTATCTGGCCACGATGTCTAGGACTTCAAAGCACGCGAGGAGGTGCAGTCGGTGCCCTACAGACATACTACGCACTACCCGACTTCGAACATTTTACTGCCGCTGTAGATCTCGCACAAACTGAGGTATTGAATTCTGAATGTTTAATCTATTTAGTTAGGATTACCTGGTGGTAAGCATCGGCCACGCCCATGGACATGAGTAATACACCAGAGGGGTTAGGTACAAGTGCGTTGCAGGCCTTGGGGGAGAGGGGAGATTGAGTCTCAGGTAACACAGTAGAAACATTGCTACAAACGCAAGCGTTGCTTCACGCCCGTAATATTTTATTACCGGTAACTTCAAACTTCGTTACTTCAATGTACTTTACCCAACCCGACGATCATAACACCACGCCTTTTAATCATTAAAAACGTAGGCAGAGATGCACATGTGTATATTGTATACAACCCAATTTTCGCCCCTTGTTAAATTGACATATACTGGGCACAGTCGACCCCGAGACTTACATCTGAACATTACAGTTACAGTGCTGCGGTATGACAGACGCCCGAAACTATGACATGTCGATCTGGCAACTAAGACGTCTCGGGCCGCGGGGCATGTCGGTCCCGCTCAGCTGTTGTGTACAATACGAAGACAACGTGTCGTACCTCAACCCTGCGCCAGTAAACGCGTCACGATGCCAAGAAGTACAAGCCAATCCCACTTTTAGATATGTACCCGTAAGTTACATTTACATCACGCTGTAAATCTCTGCAATTTCCATATGACAGGAATTTATATCTTAATAGGTACCAATAGATAACCGCGTGATGAATGCAGAATAGGAAAAGTGTCGCCCTTTACTCTTCCCGCGAGTGTCGTAAACCCGAACTTTAAAACTGCTAGTTCCAATACCCAGCGACCAAGCATGAAGAATATTATAGCAAACTCATTTGTGCTATGTTAACAGCCTTACGATAGTACATTGCTGGATTTGTGCTCATAGTCCAGCTTTGTACTATCGTAAGGCTGTTAATTTATGATGATGTTGTCCAGCAGCAGATCATTAAGAAGTCCTTTTGTCTCAGGGATGTCCACCGTGGACGTGCACTTGCACTGTTAGGAGGGAAATCAATAAAAAGATTTTCTTTTACTTTCGTCACAAATCCAAGTTTAAACGCTAAAATATCAATTATAGTTTTGAGCATAGTCTTAACCACCTTCATCAGTCATTTCTTACATTTCAGGGTTGTCTTGGACCTCTAGAAGACTGGTACCAACAGCAATACTTAATACTTATGCTTGGTCTATTCATCGTGGCGCTCTTCAAGCTGGGAGTTCTACTGAGCACTATATTCTCTTGCATACGACTCAAAAAGCGCAGACAAATACTGCAGGCTGCATTCTCTATGAGATCGTTAGACAATAACACGAACGAAAATATTTATGAATGTAAACTTAGCACAGTGCATGAAGAACCAATCACTGCTAAATACATCCAGCCGAATAATTTTTATAGTCCAAGGTTACGGAACCCAAGAATTTTCGATAGTAAACCAAATGAGGTCGTATGAGAATTAGCTACGGAGATAAATGCTTTAGAGAAGAAGTTGGAAAGGTTTTCAGATTATTTGTACAAGCATCAAGCTGACTCTATCATGTGGTGATCAGACTGTCAGCTCTGCCAACAGGACCTGCCCAGCTTTTTGCGTAATAAATGTAAGTTTTTGACTCTCAAAAATATTTGAATACGAAATATGTGCCATAAATCAAATATTCTTATAACATTTACTACTTAATAAGAGCAAGGTCCGCACAATTTGCATTGTTCTCTAAAGTACTTACTCCGGCTTTACGTTAGTACTTCTATGTGTTCGATTAGTTTAATTATTAGGATTTAAAATAAATAAAACACATTCACTCAATATGCAATATTATTTTCAAAAGAACGTTCAAAAATTGGTCCTAAATTTAAAACATTATTAACAATGGCTCTGGAATGTTGCTATCATTCACAATAGTTGGTTTTATAGCTGTAAACTATTTCAGAGAGCTAAACCTTCATCGATTGGATTGTTTATACATAATGATTTTATTAATTTCATACCCATCGCTGGTATACATTGATCAAAAACTCCTAAAGTTGTTTAACAACAGTTTTGTATTTACACTACTACAAAATAACGAAATGGGTGATTTGCATTCTCAAATACATAAAAATATAATAAACAGGAAATGCACTTCACAAAGAATATGCTACACATTCGATGAAAAAGTAAATAATAATGAACCAACAAATCTATTCCAGAATCTCTCAAAACCCCAAACTAAAATGATACCATGAGATCCTTAACAATAACAATAATCTATGTATAATAATTGATACTATTTATATCTATTGACCGTTGAGACCGACATCACAGTATAATCTACATTCATCTTAGGTACAGGAATGATCTTACTATATTCTTACTCCATACAATTTACATTTTGCACTATTTTGATACATCGAGCTGTCCCCAATTTAGACAAACCAACAAAATATGCTCTGGAAATAAAATTCAAGGACAAAAGCTGAGAGAATAAAATAAGGAAGCCGCACATTGGCTATGTTTTAGCTGAAGACGATGTAAATAAAATTGGAAGTGGTGTAATTCGAGGATCGAGGTGATCAGCCGGTAAGTGTGGCAACACGCACTACCAACGTTAACAGGCGGATGTTGGAAATATTTGTTGTGTACTGCGATGTTGCCACACTTCATACAACTTGAAGTTTCCCAAATTAGAGATATAATAAGTTAAAAGCCGCCAATGATCAATCAAACTGCCATTCCGCGTAGAAACAAAGTTGTCATTAGCTGATCATCTCGATTTAAATTATTATAGGTAATAATATATTTATCTATGTTTTAACATAGCTGTCTGTCTATTGCCCCATATATTTTATTTAATATTTTCATAAATAAAATCATTAACGTAAATAAAATATTGTCTTTTGTGCTTTTTACCTTATCAACTACAATAAAATTTGCAATAAATATACATTAGCCTACTCTGCCGCTAAATAATAATTATCATAAGAAGAATAAGAATGTCAGTTTCATGGATACTCTGAGACTGTCGGTAGTATATTTAGCTTATATTTAATATTACAAACATTTAAAATTAAAATATTTACAAAGGAATTATTAACAATAGTAAAACCTATAAACACTACGAAATTGATATTTTTCATAATAAATATAGTCTACAAAACAATGTGGTCCAAAATGTAAAGTGGCTTACTTGTCGGTCGCTTACGGTATACTCGTAAGCGGGTTCTACTGACCATACTCCACTCTGGCCATGTTAAATTCCTGTGTAATAACTTTGGTCATCATTTGTTCCATATTGGTCGTACATTTGTATTTTAGAAGATATATTAAACACATTATGTAGACAAAACCCGAATATGATAAGTCTAATTGACTTTCAATTGCGTCAATTAGGAATTGCTTTATTCTAAAACGCACACGTATAGCTGTGCCATTGATAATAATTTAAAGGATGTCGTTTAAGAAGGAGTTGTCTAAGGAGTTGAGTAGCTCCTGCGCGGTGAGATTGCTGGCGTCCGTGGAAGGCATGTTGTCGAGGAAGTCAAGGTTGAAGTCTGTGGTTTGTCCGGTGAAGGAAGACGTGTTGTGGAGCGAGGGGAACGAATGCTGCGCCACGTTCCCGTGCTGACTCTGCATGGGGTTATTCTGAGACATCATGGAGTTCTGCTGCGTGGGGTTGGTCTGCGCGTGCATTGGTCCCTGGCCTTGCATCGGCCCATTCTGCATGGGGCTGCCCTGGTGCCCACCCATGCCCATGCCACTTTGTTGCATAGACATGCTCTGAGATTGGCTCATATGGATATTTGGCATCTGCAAAATTATAAAGAATTCGCTATAGAAAATGAAAACATTATGTACATAATTTGTAAGTCGAGAATGGCTGGACCTCTGGTTCATGATTTTATATTAATGCAATCGTCTCCATCCGAACTATTCAAAACATTTGGGATTTCCTTAACAAAAACTTAACAGTGTTCATTAATCCTCTAAAATATTTGTTAATTGGTAGTTGACGTGTGTTAAATGTAATGTGATAAATCATTGTTACCTGTCCTTGCACGCTCATCATCTGGTTCTGTTGCATAATGAGATGAGACATTGGCTGTTGTTGGTTGGACGCCCTGCAACGTAAACAATAATGTGAGTAACGACATAATATTACCAACAAATAGTTTTGCTATGGTTTCAGTATGCAATATCATTTAATACGTATAATAACAGGCATAATCAGTACGCACATACTTCATAATTGAATACAGTAGCATTCTTATAGAAGTCTTTGAAATATTTTTGAATCATTGAAGTAACTAAACTGGATACGTACCGCTGTTGCTGCTGATGTTGCATAAGCTGTTGCTGTTGCAAGCGCGCCTGTTGCAGCTGCATTTGTTGCTGCTGTTGCTGTGTCATGCCACCCATTGTGCCCATATTGAATCCTGAAAGTAACAATTTCTTATTTGTATATTCCTATGTACAGCATTGACAAAGAGCAAACACTTGAAAATGTTCACTGGCTATTAATTTGTCGGAAGATGTTAGGACTGGTTGTTAGAAACGAAAGCAAGTTCGAGCGATGTGATAATGGCAATGGGTAGATGTACGTACCCTGGTGGTGGTGCGGGAACTGTTGCCTGGAGGCGGCCTGCTGCTGCATGAGCACGTGGCGCCACTCGGGCGAGTACTGGCGCGCGTGGTGCGGGAACGGCCGCGACTGCGGGGCCGGCGGCCGCCGCACGCCCAGCGAGCCCTGCGCCGGGCCCCCGCCGGGACCCACGCCGGGGCCCACGAACCGCGCCTTGTACTCGGGCGGCGGGGGCCTCATCTGTTGCTGCTGCGCGCGCAGCATCTGTTGTTGCTGTTGCTGCAACATCTTCGCTTGCTGCTCCCGCGATATTCCCGCCGCTGCCACGCCTGTCATGTTACAGTCAAGGTCATTAGCAGAGTATTTCATTATCGGAATGCAAACACGATACATTTGCCAAATACAAATTCCAATAAAAAATCTGTATCTAGGTAGAACAAAGATAAGGTGTTTATTGCTACCAAAATCATCATGAGGCCTGAGGACGTATCAATAAATATTTTTTATTTATTTCAAATTGGCATTTATTCTGTGTACATATCGTATACTGACCGAGTGGTGGGCCGCCCTGTTGCGAGCCCTGTTGTTGCGGGCCCTGCGGCCGCGCTCGCATCGCCTGCGAGAAGTTGATGCTCTGCGACTGGGACACCGAGTATGTGTCACACCCGCCACCTGCGGAACAAAACATTCAAATGTCTCATTTATCTTTGTTATGGTAAAAGAAAACTTACTTAAGATCGGTTATTATTGTTAGTTTTGGCCGTTGTCAACGTCAAGTGTGAATAATTGTAGGTTGATATGCGTTTTATGAAAATAATTCAGGGAATCTACGGATTTTCTATCCAGAAATTACCTATCGGATGGTAAACCCGACGTATTACAACTAACAGGCTAAGAGAAGCCATCGGGTTTTCCTAGTTGAAAGATAAAAATATACATAAAGTTATTATATAAATAGTAAAATTTCCTGATATTGTTTAAAATAATTAAAACTAGTATAAAATTCACTACATATTGTTAACGATTTCAATTCAATCTTTGTCACTGCATCATCATGATGCACATTTTATTCCAACAATAATAATACGTGAGTGGTAGGTGACATAATAGCACGATCGTTGTACATATAAAATTAGCGCAATTAATAATTTATCCCGAAATATACATTACGTAGTGTCCAAGTATGTAAATAAATGTAGAGTGGGATGCATCATGTAAGTGCAACGCGCGCACAGCGTAGTGCGTAGGTAATAAACACGTCAATCTAATGTCATCCTCATCCGAGGTGCGCGACTTGGCGCATTCTCGCAGAGCGTCAACCTCGGCCCTCCGCCCCTCGACCACTCACCACACGAACAATGTAAACTCAGACCTACAGAAGCTCCACAAACTACACATAATTAGGCTTACGACTAAGTAGCGTTGATTATTCAAACGAATCTTGCTTGGATCATCAAAGCAATGAATTTTGTTTGCGTTATGCTGGGTGTACGTGAGTATCGCGTTTTTTAATTGAAACCGAAACGGCCTTACGTGCACGTATCACAAACGTTTGCGTTGATGTCTAGCTACTATTTTAAGAATATCATACTTTCTAACCAAATTGAGAAGAATATTTAATGCGCAAGGGATTAAATTGTCTGTCTCGATCGTTAAGGGCAGGCTTCATCACATATAGAGTGGGCCTTCTGCCTGTTCTAATTACACAGTAACACCACATACGCCACCTTGCATTTACACACACGCTATCACTTAACGCAATAGCATAAAGATGCTAATAGTTTGATTGTGGGCACGTACCACACTTACTAGTTATGTGCTTGTAACTTATGTACCTAGAATGTCCAAAGCGCATGTGTTTATGAAAAATAAACCCAGCACGCGAGGTTTCTTTGTTTTTTAATACTTTATACCTGGGATCCAGATAGCCATCGATTACTGCGACTGTGTAATAACGCGATGTTATTGTGCACGCCGACTCTTAGTTTTATACATATAAAAGTACGTATACATGTCATGAGACAGACTTGCTTCTCGTAAGAGAGTTCAATATCGTAAAGACAAAGACTACTCCAATAGAGTAGTCATTTCCGAGGGAGTGATAACCACTTGTTCATATACCATTGAGTTAAATTAATAATTGTACGCCGATATGAAACTATTTTCAGCAATATGTTTATGAAACCACAACTCGTCAGTATTCGAAAATAGCATTATTGTGAATTACTAGCCACTCAATGACTATGTTAGTATCAATGGACCGGAATTGATTCATCATTTTTGCGTGTCATTAGCATGACTCCCCAGCCTTATGTAAAGGACGCCAAAATACGCATGCGCCGCGCACGAACTCGCGAATTTTACTTTAATTAAATCCTGAATTAATGATTATCATTAGCAATTAGTATATTTGCTTGAAGAACAAAGCGGTTTCATTAACATTAGAGTTCCATCAATAACAAACATTATTGTATTGCGCATTATTTTATAAATGCTGAAAGCTACAAAATTACAAAGAACATATCCTTCACTCGTTTAGTTTTCTACTATCAGGAATTCGTGTTATGAAAGGATTGAACCTCTATAATTTCATCTTATTAAAGTAATACTCAATAACCGTTGTGATTGGAAATGGAAGATGATGTTATGGAAATGGAGTGAAGACCACGCCTATACAAACGTAGCATAGCGCTCCATTGGGCTGGCGAAAGTGACGATATCTGCAAAGCGGATGGCAGTGTCCGACTAAGAAGAGCTGAGTGGAAATTGTGGAATGCTATTGGTGAGCCCTTCGTTAAGTTGTTATGGGTTTTTGAAGTGTCGGACCCTGTTCTTACTTCAAAGACAAAGATAGTACAGCAGTCAAAGATATTTATTTACCTTGATGGTGTTGTGGTGATGGCGTTCCCTGGTTGTGGAAACTGGCGTACATGCCCTGCTGCGCTGCGACGGACACATGTCCCCCGCCGCCTCCGCCGCTAACTTGCATATGTTGTGCCGCCGACACCTGCCACACAAAATATATTTCCATGACATATAATTAACATAACGTATACACTACTTGTTACTGCAGTTGAAGCTACCCAAACCATTATTAGAAGGACTACTTTATTGCAAGGTCATAAGGTAGAGTATTTATATAAAGAAATTGGTAGGTTGGCACTTGATGTGCAGTTTGTACTGAAGATCAAGAAACAACAATACCAGTCGTAACGATGAAAGATAGTAACTGCTAGATTAATTAAAATTGGTTAACTATGATTTCTATGTAAATACCTCTTTACTTAATTACGTTCAGGACCAGGACAAGTTGACAGTAATTAAAAACGGGTAACTAATTGCTTTGTAAGTGTAAAATTGCCCCATAGTTCTACATAACAAATTAAAATTATTGAAATTGCTGTTAACTAGACAATTAGATTCAAACACAGAACATTACTATATATCCAAGTTCTTGGATCTGGAAAATATAACATAAAACAAACAACATAGTTCTTATTTATGTATGAAGATGGAATCCCAAAAGGTCGTTTTATAATTATATGCATTTTATTTCGTATCTATGTCTCTACTACGTATATTTGTATTATTACATTATGTATTTTTTATTTATTACACAAGTAAGACGACGTATTAATCTTGCACCAAGACTGCACCGAATCCATATCAAAACGATACAAATCGATAAAAGCGTTATCCGCAAAGAATAAAATTTTCAATACGTCCGAGGATGATTCTCTAAAATGTAGAATATTATAGTTATAAAACGAGTGTGATCCATTTTAAAGCAGCAGTTTCTGTATCAGTAAGTGGAGTGTAGTGTAGTGTAGTGTACCGATAATAAAGTCATTGTATTCCCAGATAACCCAACACGTGAGCTTTATTAATTAGCAACTAACATTTTATCAATTTGTTCAGACTCCATACGCTAAGTTAGTTCCTGCACTGAATACTCAAAATAATAATTTGCCGCGGGTACACAATTTATCTCAGTTTAAATCCAATTTTATTCTACATTGTTTCATGTAGAACCCTACCAGAGAACCTGTGTTTAATTTTGAAATTTCTTTATGTAAGTGAAATCTTACAAATATCAACTTTTTCTTTTCAGTGAAGTTGTTAAAACAACAGCAAAACATTTACACAACATTTCAAGGCTTGTTTTGCTCGAGCCATTGGCTCGCATCGTCGCATGTCAACGGAATATTCTTGATAAGTCGTAAGAATTTCACCTATTTACTTACGTAGATATCTGCAAATATTGGTAACTAACTACCTATAAGATAATCTATTTATCTAAACATTTCAGACTGATAATAATATACGTATATCATCAATTTACGTAACGTACCTACTCGAATCCAGTTATAACTAGATATTAATGAATCTTCAAAGAAACATTAACAAAGTAAATCGAGACGTGTTTACCGAAAATTATGAACTTTACGTATTCGTTACGTAATTAGGTACATGAAATATTGATTCGCCATGGGACTAAGTTACGTCAGCCATCGGTGTTCCTTTCTAAGGAGTTCATGGCATGGTTCTTTTACAGGTCGGTAGTAAGTTTCAAAACTTAAACAAGTATAGATATAACCTTTATGGAATCTGAAAGCATGATATATGAAGAGGCCTTTGCACCTGCCCTCCCCTCACCACTCAAGCGGAAAATCTTAACATGCAACGTGCATTATTTTCGTTATGGAAGATATGTATATAGAAATATAAATGTCTAATTGTGTTATCGCGCATAGCTCCCTAGGTCAATAAACATACATCGAACATAACTTAGCTCTATATTAAAATTTGCTGACTGGAATATTCTAAATGTCATTTAATTAAAGCGGAATTATGTTGGTCGTATCGTATGCCTGACGGGCTTTGGGCCACAGTTACAGAGTCCTGGTCGATATATGGACGCTGTCTATGAGAACACTGAATTAAAATGTCCGAATAATAGGCCTTAATTAGGAATGGAAAGTTACCATCTCGGCATTAATGAAATTCACAAACTCCTGAAACTTTACAGTAAGACTATTTATAATTGAAGCCTCCGCAAATGTTTAAAGCACTATTTGATATTTGGAAAATTCCTATGTAGCTTTAGCATAATAGACGCCGTGTACCAATGAATTCAAACGAAACAGTGCGTAGCAAGAACGGGATAAACATGAAACCACACCCTTAACGAGGCGTGAAGGGTTTCGAATGTCAGTGTCACCGATTCATTCTAACGAACGAACGATAAGTTCGGGTGAACTCATATTATACTGAAACCTGGCCATTATTAAGTCTCATCGTACATTATGTAGCCGTAGTAGTGACTTGGGTCTTTTTTTATTTACAAAGTTTTGACAAGCATTTTTCTACAAATTTTAAAACACAACTAAGAGAGAAAATATGCTTTAAGAAATGAAATTCTACCATTTTCCTCTTTTTGTGTATATTTCATTAGAATTTTTAAGTAGCATAAAGTAGTGCGATTGGTTGTTTAGGAGATTTGTGACAAAATATTAGAGCGGCAAGCGCCGATGACAGCTGCCATCCTGGCGGAGGTGAACACGCGTCATCGTCGCGCTCAAGCCTCGACGCACGGCAAACCTGTTTGGAGCGGTCCGTCCGCCTGCACCCGCGATTTTTGTTATTTTCAACAATATCATATCGTTCTAAGTCCGCTAACCCGTATGATGTTTGCACTATTGTCAAGCCAGACAAGGTAACGGCACCATTCTTATCCATTCGTACATCATTTTTTCGTATGACCCATTCCTAGGATTGTTATCAAGAACGCAGGTAGAGACAGTAATGTGAGCAATATTAAGGCAAGCTTTGTTATTTGTTTTCAAGTTTGGGACGGCTCTGAATCTACATAATGAATATTAATTATTGACTAAAAAAATTGGAATCAATTTATCTGGTTCAATTTGAATGGTATATGAATGTCTATAATATACGTAGATTAGATAGTAATCTCTAAAAAACATTAAATAAAAACCCTATTAAAGAACAGATATGGACGACGTCACGTTTTACAGTGAGTTGTGCGGGGAAATATAAATTAAAACAGGTAAAAACCTTCAACATGCTCAACAACATGTTATTATAAAATTTATTTAACCTTACGGTTTTCACGACCCGGGTACGACCTAAAACTGCGACCAGCCACCTTAGAGTGGGTAACATCATCCTAAAGAATTTTGGTGATCTATAAGCGATCCCCAAGCCATCTACCAAACCAAAGGCTGTGATGGCAAATGCCCTTCGAAGAGGGAACATGTTCTGCAATAAATGTATTTTAACTAGAGGTGATCTTTCGGGGAATATTTTGCTAAGAATGTAAGACAATAATCTTAGTAACTTTAAGACTTATATGGAAAATTGTACAGTACATCTTTATGTATATCTTTCGAGTTGCCGTACATGAATTGTTAGTAAATCCTCATTCCATATAAATTTTACGTGTTCGACCGAATTTCTTTGTTCCCTTGAAAATTGATAAATCAAGGTTCGGTTCAACTGTAAATATATTTTAGCGATTGCTTTAAAGGCCAAAGGATGTCGTTGGAAGGGCGCGTCAGGTATGACGTCACGAACCCCTGGGTTCGTCACCGGCTCACCGGCGGTACTCGCTAGCTGCGGAAATAGACCGGCCCACGCGCTTTCGTCACTTACACCCACGACTCAAACGAGACAGTAAGCTTTCAGACACTACGATGCCTTCCTTTTTCATTCAACTTCAATTATTCTATTTTTGGAAGTATTCATTATTCCAGAGCGACGCTGAATGGACTTGACTTCCAATGTCGTAGGTAGTTAAGTAGCGAGTTTTCCCCTTTGTCTAACTCCGCTATTTGTTCTTCTAAGGTTATCCTATACCCACAAATATCTTACATCTTTTCTTATAAGACACATTCATAGTCTGGACGAAATCACTTTCTAAAAGCTGCTGAGTTGTATAACACTAATTCGTTATATATATATTTGCAGTCTTTTAGTACCTATTCATTGAATAATTTATAAACCTAATTGCCCTGTTAAGCTGTCAACAACATTTTCATATACAAACTAATTTCTAGAAATAAAAGTTGTTGATCAAGCTTGTGAGATTATTCTTACTTCATTGACAGAGGATACATTTATGTAATTTAAAACAAATGTAATTGAGGGAGAGAAGCTTATGATTAGAGAAAGGCGAGGTGTGGAGCGGGCGCGGGTGGGACACGTGGCTTACTCCCGGACTCTCGCACAGGAAGCTATCGGGCCCTACTCTTTTTATTCCATTCATTCTCTAGTGTCATCGGCCGTCTCGCCGTCACGACTTTCGAAACAACTGAGATTTGAATGTGATACATATTGTTCTAATAACACATGAAACCAGATTCTGCGTCAGTCGGCTCATGAATACTCTGACCTTGTTCGAGTGGGAGTGTTATGTCATAAAACTGTTTCAAGCAAAATATTGAAACAAATTAACTTTACTAAGAAACAATTTTTGCTTTTAAGGTGTGGCAATTATGCGGAGAAATCAATAAGAAAATTGATTATTTTATTAATATAAAACTGTTTGAAATATTTGTTGAAGAACGCAGTATAATGTTATAAATATCTAGATATAGGTAGCAATTTATAGTAAGTACTGCACACAACAGCGATGGCATGGGTACAGCTAGTTTGTAAATAAACAGTGGAAGCCATTGTTTCAGTGTTAGAGGATGATCTCTCTTTGAAGAATATAATGATCGGCGTAGACTACGACGAATACTAGATAAAATCATGATGAGGTCATGATTCAAGTCGCAGATCCGTGAAATGTTTAATTGCCTCGCCATTCTCGTCGAGGCACTGTGTGCCAATCGAAGCTATACACTATACACAGCTATTTAGTAAACCGTCACGCCATTGATTTTTGTAAGGTTAAGTAGAGACCTGCCTGCATTTTGCATAGTAACGAGTTTGTCATTTCTTAATCTGAGATCTACAATATCGAGAATACTTCAGAGTGGTGCGGTTTATAACAATAACTCCAAGAAAATTCCGTTGAAACATTTAGATAACTGAAACCTATGTGTCCATTTGTATCGACTACCTTTATTCTGTTTTGATTTGAATAAAACATACGGTAAATAAATGTCATAGACACAAATTTACATAACAGTTGCATTGCATAGTTTCCCCGCGTAAACAGAAACAATAGGCCAGTAATTATCGGCTAGCTAGTGCCTATACCCATCAATTAAATCTCATTTGTATTATTATGTAAGTGGGTAACTTGGTATTGTTGCAAGACTCCATACTGCTGAGCTCTGAGCCTTGTTTACAATGGACGGCCTTTAAGTAAAACATGTGGCTTTCGATACATCTGCTTATTCGCAACACACGTGTTTAATACCATTTGTACCTATCGTCCCTTGTACCAATATGTCATTATCTAAGCGAAATTTTTTAAGACTGATAAAAAGGACTCACACGAATCCATTAAAGTTATTGTTTAGTCAATAAGTTGCGCTGTCATTTGTCGACACGGCTAGCATATTAATGAAGCACTTAGAATATATAACTTCGTATTGAAATGAATATGTAGCTCCATCTCTATCTAGTGGCAGTCGTTACACAAGTAGAAGTATAGTCGCACAGACGTCACATTCGCCTCCAACTATCCGTGGACCGTGCTAGGTAAGTGTAGGCGAGTGGCGGCGAGCAGCGCGCGCACGCCCTCCCCGGTCGATACCACACCAGACTCCATGTTTTTTATGTCTTTTCACGTCACAAATTGCTTAAAAAAAGACTTTCAATAATTAACTAAACATAATTCACTGGTATTTTATGAAGTAAAGAGGAAACATGACTGTTCTAAATTTTCTTTTAATGATAAACTTTTGTGCATTTACATACACCTGCGATAATGGTTCCCAACTAGCTTGGCACTTTTGTGGGCGGGAAGATTATTTTAACTTATGTTTTGAAAGTTTTATTCTATTTGGACTTTGGACATAATGTTTATTTGATTTGATCAACTCGACACTGACTGTAGTTGTTTCATTGAGTTAAGTAGATCCAAAAATGTCATTATATATTTCACGTCTCTAACAAAAGTTTCATTTCACATAAAAATTTCAAACGAATATGAAACAAAGTAGTCAAGTACCCAACACCAAGTAAATTAACAGTGTGTGTGTGTGTGGGTGTGTGTGTGTGGGTGTGTGTGTTTGTGTATGTTTGTGTGTGTTTGTGTGTGTGTGTGTTTGTTTATGTGTGAGTTGTTTCAGTTTTGCTACGATTTTGTACCCAACTAATAATCATTTGATAATGTGACTTGATGGCTGAATTCTAACTATAACAATCGCTTCAACCATCAAAAACAGTTAACGGCGAAAGATGACTAACCTGTAGATTGTGGTGCGGCTGAGTAAGATGCAGTTGCTGCTGCTGCGACATGTGCAAGTGGTCCATAGTTGGCGGAGCGGGCCGCGGCCGGTATCCGCCGTAGCCACGGTACCGTGCCCAGTCTCCACCCGTCGCTTGCTGGTGTTGCTCCGCCATGTGCTTCAGTGTCTGGGCAGCCGGAGACATTTCACCACCTCCGTATGGTCGAGGAGCTGGTTCCCCTTCTGGCGGCTCCAAACCCATTCCTCCACCATTAAGTTTGCCACCATCGATATCAAAGTCTTTCATAAACTCTGGATATTCCGATATCTCCGTGATAAGATCTTCAAACGTGTCGTCGCCATCATCCTCGCCGATTAGATCGGCTAAACCAGGGAATGCGGAGGCCGCATCACGCTCAAGGGCCGCAGCGCATTCGTCCAATCCGACAAAATCGTCATCAGCTACTTCTGATTTGCATTCTGCTTTACATTCACGTTCGCAATCTAGCGGTGTAGGTACGCGCGGTGGTGGCTGGGGTAAGGGCGGAGAACTAGACGTCTTGACGGCATTTGCAAGAGCCTTTACCGTGACGTTAGTTGAAATCTGCTGGGGTTGCGAGTCTGCCGCCGATGTGGTGAACTCCAATTGCTGGACGATTTCCACCGAGAACTTTGTGAGAGCCTCGCCCCCAACTCCGCCCCCACCACCACCTCCACCACATTGAAGTTTCGCAGGTGGTTCATAATCACCGCATCCAAATTTTTGTTGCTGCAACAAAAATACAGTATAGTTATAGAACTGGTAATAACGGGTAAGTCTTACAAGAAGTAAACATTGAGGCACGTGAGATAACAGTGTTATAAAAATTCCGATCGAATTGATATTGATAAGACTGTCTCTTGCAATGACTGCATTGCAATCACTTATACCTAAATATTATGTAATTTGTTTTGCACTTTTTTGTTTACAGTTCGTAGATTCGTACATGTAACTTCGTACTTGAACTTTTCAAGGATCCTACGAAATTATATTTTTGTATAAATACCTACTTTTCATTACAGAATGACTTTTCCTATTGTTTAAAACTAAAGAAGTAGTCAAGGGCAGTTTAGATAAGAAGATGTTTCAAATATAGACAAATGTAAAGCCTCGCAAATTAAGTGTCTGTCACTAAACAGGAATAAAACTGAGCCAGACATAGGTAGGTAGGTAAATGCTTTAATCATGTGCGTGACCGTCACGTGTTGACTATACGATAGCAAATTAAATGTGCTCGTATTTATCTAATGGATCTCTAGCGCACATCCTTTTCTAGGCAGCTATCTGAACATCCGTATTTTACACCTACTGTCGACTTATCAAAGTTTATACATAATGATCAATACTCAAACGACTAAAAATGTCTGCATGTTGTACCGTTTGGCCAAACATCTAGTTCCGGTACTGGTAATTAAACATCAATGGTAGACTGGCCACTATAACTGCATAAGCCTTAGTATGTAAAATGCAGAGAACTAGTTCAACTCCTCACAGTACAAACTGTGTTTACTGATGTCTTGCCTAATTAACAGATAACACTTGACCATTTGTCGCTTAGAATTTCTTCAGTAATTAGTGCAAACGAGTTGAAGATCACGCTGTCAAGTGTTGTAATTGCATGAGCATGATAACGCCATTGACATGAATGTAAATATTGATCATTGGTGAATATTTTAATGCAACGAATTACAACAGGGTTACATTGCACTTAGCTCTGTATCGAATACTTCAAAACGCTCAAGTTTAGAAACTATTTTAACTATGAGGTATAAATTGTATTCCTAAGAGATCAGTACATTTAGAACTTAGTCACTGCACATAGTTCGTTATTGTGGCAGGTATCGCCATGGTCTGCTTACTCGCCAGTCTATGTTCAGAATTACATAATGGCAATTTATGGCCCAGTTTCGAGACGCCAGTTTCTACATATAAGTAACGTATAACGCCTGCAGTACAACGGTTTAATTGAGGTTAAAGGACTTACAGGAATTATGATATTTATGTTTCTGTTAGATTACAAGAGAATATTAAGCTCTTCAGAAATAAAAAACAATCTTCCATAATTATTCAATCCCAAACTTGAAATTGTTTTGCCTTTGATAAGAGCTGTATGTCGTATTTCAACTTTATCAACTGTGCCTAACGATATACTAACAACTTATGTCGGTCAACTTTGGTAATTCAACAATGGCATCGACAATAGTTGATAGCACAATAGTTTCTGCGTCTAACTTTGGTAACTATTGGTAAACTACGTAATACGTAGTTACTTAATAAAATGTGTCAGAAAACAGCGCAGGCGCAGGCGCTCGGAGGTCGTCGCGGTGAGCGGCGCGAGACAATGCGAGGCGTTTGTTGTGAAACTCGCGCAGTTTGCACAACCGCAGACCGCCCTACCGTACCTACACGTACATGATCTAGCGCAGGTAAATTCACTGACTCCGAGGAAGCTGTAGCCATACCTAACAACTGTTGTTCACAGCACGTACTTATTGCAAAACTGAGATTGTCTTACATATCTGGTTTTTCGCCGCTGCCTTATTGATTTATGTAGGCACTTCTATTAAAATATACTAATTGTTAAATTGTTAGTTCTAATGTTTTATTTTATAGTTATAGTGGTTTCGTATAATGTCGCGTGTTGGTAAAGTGAAGCGCTCGGAGGCACGGGATGCGGTGCCAGAGGGTCAAGTCAATTGACGTCGGGCAACATCCGGTGTGCGACGCGGCGCTTATATAGCACGTGCTACCACTAATTATCTCCCCATCATACCCATAAATTGTATGCAGCGATATAAAATAGACTAACAAACCTCTACGTTAAATTATCACAATACCATAGAAATAAAACTGCATCAAATAATAAATCGAAAACAAATTATTATGAATTAAGAATTGAGTTACAATTTACATTTGATTGTCTCTGGCAGTAACGACTGCGGACTGGGGATATTTAAATACACATTATTACCTAAATTTTAACAATAGAAAGTCGTGGAAAGTCTGGATCAAGTTGTACGCAAAATGTAGAGAAACGGTATCAAAAGCAATCTTTGTAATTACTGGGTTTGTATTTGCGATAGAACAATACAATCACGTGTAAAACGCAAACACGTGACATATAACAGTAATGAGGAAATAAGTAATCTTACATAACACTAGAAGAGTGAAGATAAGTAATAGAAGTAGAGAAGAAAAAGATCCGAGCAAATACCAGTAGTTAGCTACCTATAAAACATATTAAATGACGCGCAATATAAATAAACACAACAACGAAGTGGTATATAAAATGTTCATACAAAGGTACACGATCGGTAGCGTGCATTAAGTAAAAGTGTTAATGACGTTTAATAGCGTTTCAAATGCGTTTCTTTCTCTACGGTATTGTGCCCAAATATTTTATGGAATTTAACGGGAATTTCAAGTGAACATAGACATAGATCTAACATGTGAACGTAACCGGTTTCCAAAGAGGTTATACTTGTTTTTAGCCACATTGTTTAATGTGACATTATTAGGTTTCGCATTGTATTACTTAATACACTTAATATTTGCATTATTTTCATGATTTTAAAAATCAAATTGTCATAATGTAATCTCAAAAGTACAGGAACAACTTTACAATTAATACTTTCTGACTTTTGCCAAGTAATACATACTATTACATACGTATTATTGATGGGATATAATACTTTAGTTTTCTCCACTTCATAAAATGATTGTTTTTTTTACAAACTTACCACATGAACGACGCTGCTGTGAAGATTGCCACTGATGGCTGGCAAGTCAGGCTTGCGATCGCTTTTCTTTGCTTGTCGTTTGGCTTTGCCTTCGAGGAAGCGTTTCTGAAGCGCAGTAGTTTCTAGATTTTGCTGTTCACATGCGCCAGTAAATGATTGATCAAATCTCGGCACACATTCTGATTGGCGTCGTCGATACGTTTCTATCCTTCGTCTGTAACAAATTGAACCAAATTAAATACTTTTGTTTAAAATTCCAAGGACATGAAAAATATTTGGTACGAACAATAAACAAATTTTCAGGAGTCAGAATAATTGCTTGTCCAGGCTACGACATATGTTAGAGAATAGTAAATACGTTAGAGAATTCTGCATTCCAGGACAATAAAACGTGAGATTTGTTTATAGAACTTCATAAAGTACAACAGCAAAAACTATTCCAAACAATATTACTTTATAATTATTGAGTTGGTCCTAATGTGAGCCCTGTGCTACTCCGGAAACTATCAAACAATTTGAGTAGTTTAAATGGCTCTATACCTGTCAAAAAGGTAAGAGCCAACAAACGATACAGTTTTGCTGTCAATCCTGAAGATCAACTACGATAATAACATAATAATGAGACCTTGTCAAATACTACACTGAAGTCTATGCTATGTATACTTATTAGTATACCTAACTCAAAGTAACTTACAAGAGCTGATCGGATGAAGCTCTGTTGAATGCTTTCAAATTATTTGTGAAGAGGATATGTTTTAATATTTATAAAAAAATAGGTCTAGACGATACTAAGTGTGTGTGAGTGTAAAATAATTAGAAGTTATTTACAATAATCTCTTAGATCACCGAAACGTATCTTAAAGTATCACTGTTAAGTGTTTCAAGTTTGCGCTTCAATCCTTCCTTCTTAGTTCTTGCTAAAGTGTACCCAAGTTGGGCTTTGTTTAAATAAAAAACCCAACGTCCTGATAAATAAATGTTGACGACATAATGCCCTGAGTCATCTCTTACGACACCCACGGGAAGTTAGTTAAGCGGGCTATTGTAGATACCTATGCATCATAGTTCACGGAATATAGACATCATTACAGCTATCAATATTAGCGGAATTGTTGCAAAATATTTGTAATCGAAAGTGGACCAGAAGCTTATGAATTAATGAATGAATTACGTTTGAACCGACGGCGATGTACCTCATCACAATTCGTAAAACGGTTTGCATTTGCGTAAGCAAGTACATAGGTATAATTATCCTGAAGCATTTAATTATTCAGACATCACATACACAGAAACAAACACCGTGATCGTTCAAAACAAGTGGTACACAGTTGGTGTACGACAGTACGAGCACGGTGTACCTAACAAACAATATTTCAAGCGATGCTCAGTCAGCCGCAACTCCCGAGCGCGGTCACCTTGAGCAAATGTTAATGCGGACAGTCTGTCGGCTATACTATAAAAAAATCATTACAAGCTTTTCATTTATTCATCTGTATTATTCTGTGGCGATGAAATCCTCAAGGTCACTGTCGTTCTCCGCTTAATAAACATTTTCAAAGGTACACCTATAATGCGATACTTATAACTAAATTACTTGTATTAATATAGGATGTCAAATAAAGATTCCCTCAAAATATACATGCCAAACACCAACTTTCTTATCAAAAAATGTATGTACTTATAAGTAAAAAATAAATAAATAATATGTTACACAGTAATTCATGAGTAACACTTAAATGTAGCAGATAGGCAAAATCGTACAGGAAATGTGTAAATATTTTTATATAAAATATTTCCTTGCTATCAAATTGGCACTAATCGGTGCGATTAATGAATCGGTGTTTAATTCGACCTTTGTTTTGATAAACGTCGATACGGGGGATAACACAAGATATTATGTATTTCTTAAGATAGTTATTTGGAGAAGGAAGAGGGAGAGCAGCAATTCACGGTCACTTCTCGTATTCGTATTTGGCTATTTGCTTTTACGGTTAAGCTCTGTTTGTAATTTATTTTCTGCTTGTATGCTCAAATCAAACGTATCAGATTGCCATACATTGATAACTTGCTAACTATAGAAACATAATTCTATACAAATAGTCTTTGGCTAACATTTACGGTTTTTAAGGCAAAACTAACACCAGCACGCTAAGTAAAATTTCAAAGATGCTGCCTGCCTGAAACCTATTCGATTTTTTGCGATTGCGACATTTATGTTTCATTGATTGTACGATCTGAAAATACGTTATCTAACATGCGTTATCAGTCATTACAATTGTGTATTGCTTAAAATAGTGTTTGCATAATTAGCAGATATCAAATAAATGTAGAGTAACAAATTGATTACAATATAAAATATCACACAATAGTTCGGGCCTCCAGCTAAAACAGAATGTTAAGTAGTACATACGTATTCTAATACTGTTGTTATGTAAGGGAATCTATGTACAAGTATTTATTACATAAGCAGCGGCTGCGTACGTCACTGTGCCGATATCGGACTATATTGCAGCTACCTAGCTGTACAAACCTAGTACGTACAAATCAAATAGGTGTTAAAGTAGTGCCTATTACAGTACGGTCGTATGTCGAATCATTGACATTGAACATCGCTCTCAACACGGCCTACCATAGGGCCAGCAAACAGCACTGACGGTTGTAGCATTGAATACTCGTAGGTACTTCAATTCTACTCTCACTTTCCCTAAAGTTATGTACTCTGTGTTATAACTAGTGCGCTTCGTAAGATGGCAATAAATAACATTGTTATTATGTATACCAGTCTTCTCGGCGATTTCTTCGGCGTTGTTTGTTCCTATGTGTTACTTTAGATAACCTATTACCACAGATATAGATACTACCCTATGAAGCCTTCCATGACGTCTATCAGTCACAACAAGAATTTTCAAATAGCAATACAGAAACAATTATCAAGTATAGAACAAACCCTGATTACATTCGTGTTTACCCTTCCAATAGATTAAATATTCCGTATTATGAATACCTACTATCTGTTTGTTTGCTAATGCTGTGCAATGTCGATGTCGCTATTTGTTTCCTTTTCCCTTGATAGTCACAACTCAGATAGCAATGAAAGGTCGATGCAAAATCAACTTCCTTGAGAGACGAACATTGCATAACATTCCTACGTTTCTACCGCCAACTGTATCAATTATGTATGGAGTGATAAAATAAATTATTATTGAGGCTCTACCTTCTTTACTTACCTAAAAGAATTTCATGAATATGTATTATGTATGTTATTGGAGGTAACACTTGGGTAGCAACTATGTACTTATCAATAAATGGCGACAGTCGTTCCTTTTCAGGCTAAAAATTAATACAGCAGACACATGTTTTGCTAACGTTGTTGGTTTATGTATAGATTTCAAATTAATAAATGTAGGTAAGTACCCACGTAATGTATGATGGAAAAGTCTGTTATTGCTTTCAAATTTTAACAACGGACTAACGATTAAAACAACGATACACTTAATTTTGTAAATAACAAATTTTCAGTCAAAACCTACAAGTCTACAAGCGTATTTTTGAACCCTGGAGAATTTCTAATCTGTTATTTATTAAATGAAAACAAGACTAAGCTAGGACTAACCAACCACGACTCGATACTATGAGCGTACGTAATATGCAGTTACTCAGAACTTGAAAGTCAAACGTATCGCAAGTGAAAACCACTGAATAGCTACACTACTTTCACGAATAATACCATTTTATAAGTACTAAAGTTTAATCATTGTTACATTATAAAAGAATTAAAGTCAATAATTAATCGCACAAACACCTGTCTTCATCGAGTGGGAAGCCGATTTATTGATACTAATCTGAATCACTATATCGGCACCTGACCAACTTTGGGTCATCCACTGAGGTGAATCAATGTATCAACAAGTGACACCGTATTAATACAGGGTTACCAAAAATACCCAGGACGTATTGAAAAAGATCCCAAGGGTAACCAATATAACCGTGAGTGGAATGACTCAGTGAGACACCAAAGAGACATGCAACAAATAAAAAGGAAAGATACACTTCAAGACTTCAACGCTTTTAGTGTGTCTTAAGAATCTTGAGTCTTAACTGACGTAAGTGTGTGGTGCGCAGCGCACAGATAATCCAGCTGAATCCCGAGCATCTGGCATCCCTAGCGCAATGTCGCACACGCCGCAGTGTGGCAGTACACTGTGTAAACTTGTAGGTGTTTTTGTTTAGTTCATTGACCAGCCGGTCGCCGCGGCTGTGCGCTACGCAAACAACGCCTTCGATAAGTCCCGATTGTGTGTCACGCTATGTCACTGACATTGTGCCCGACTATCCCCACAACTATGGGATCATCTTCCTAAATATACTAAAATATAAGTACAAACATTTAAATATTTGCTTATGTCATAAACGTTTTGCTACGCAATAAATTAGCACATCCATCTACTGTTGTTAGATCATACTTATACCACACATGTTTTTATTATCAGAACTACCTCAAATGTATCTAATTTTATGTTTAGGTACGTTATACTACCTATATATTTGCACTTGTATTTTTATTAGGTGTTGCATAAAATCATATTGCTTGAATAAGGTCATTAGAAACACATAAAATGTTGGGGCATTTAGTATGTACTAGTTTACATTTTATGTGTTCGCTATGTTGTGTCTACTAGCCACTATAACAAGTACCAAACTGATCAACAATTTTGCATACTTAGCTAGTGGGGTACCTAACTACCTATCACGACTATGGGTGTCCTGAATGCATTTCAATGAATACGAGCACCGACTTCACACATTGCCACTATAAAATTGTACACAAGGTGTTTATTTTGAACCCAAGGAAGAATTTGAATGAGGTCATTGAATATTTTATTGCTAACCCAAAACAATAAAAGGATACCTTCATGTCTTCGAACTTCGACCGACAAAGTAGTGCATTATCATTAAAATCAATATACATTCAGGTCCGGATACATCGCTCAATTAAAATAATTTGGTCGTAAATTGTTGAGAGTAAAGTGTCTTAACCTAAATTAATCTGAATTAGGCACGAGAACTAAACAGCTCGAAAATCGTCTCAATACAAAAAATAAAACAATTATTGGAATACCATAACGTTGGCAAATATTTTATTCTGTCAATAATTATTATCTACCAACATTTGGTTTATTTTCAGTAGCCTAGCAGCTCTTACATATTGCGGTTACGTTGGTAGAGACCTAACTGCAGCAAAATAACTTGAGAGTCTTGGGAGTGATCTTTTAGAGGTGGTTGCTGCACCTCTACCTCTACCATCACAGTTTTATACGTCACGATAATACAATCTATTTACTAGGTACTTGATTCACTTGATTGCATACTTTTAATGTTCTATGCTTAGAAACAATAATAAATATAATATAATAAATGACATCTGAAGGTTAAAAATGATCTTACACGGAATTTGTGAGCCGTAAGTAATTATTTATAGGTTACAACAACAAAATGTCTTTGTATCTAATAACTTAGCAAGTGCGATAAAAGGGTCCTTTAATACATTAGATAGGGTATTCTTATATTGTGTTTAGGAGTCCTCGTCGATCAGGGTGTATCCCTACAAATGATCCCATTAGCACGGGGGATCGTCCCTCTGAGCCCGGTGCCAATATCGATCCGGGCCGAACAACCAACGTATTGCATGCCCTCATAACTTTAAAGGCTAGACTCTCCCATTCCCCCATACTAAATATTTTACTTGACGTCTTTTTGACTTGAATTCACAACTATAGTGTGTGCGTGTGTGTGTGTGTGAACGAGAATACGTAATGTTGCGTTACAAGTAATCACGACCAAAGCAAACTCTGTTGTCACAAACCATTCTACATTGTTACACTAAACTTTCTTGTTCACGAATGAGTAAGTGTGAAAGTATCAAATATTTTGTGGACTATGTCTGCGAAGAGAACGTTATCTGCATAAATATTTTAATTCGATTCTGAATATTTTTATCTGATTAATCTGTAGTTATTTTAATACTAAATTCTTCGGCATACACTAAAAAAGGCTTAACTGATTTATTTAGTATTGACTACAATGTCTTCAAGAAATACGTATAAGTGGTAAAGGTAGGCAAGTCGCGAATATTGGTCCATTATTAACAATCATCGTGGTTAGTAGATAAATAACCAAGTCACCGCGTAACGTGTTACATCAAATGTCAAGTACACAGTTCAACACATAGATTGTTGATTTGATTTCGATCGAAGTCACTCGATGTGTGTATATTTTCTCCCAGATCATCACGTAAGACCTAGTTACTAAGGTTGTTAATCGTTTTAATATGAATGTACCTAATTGTATTTGAGTAAATTGGTATCAGTAATTTTATAACTATCATGCTTAACATGAACGAGTACTACTTCTCGTGTTCTGATACATCTTTGATATGTCATTAGGTAACCCAAGTTAATAAGCAAGTTCTAGAGCTCTCCTTTTAGAAACGAGGCCAAAAATATTGTGCAGACGACGACGGTGCGTGCAATCTGCAATCGGTGCACTTGCGCTGTAGAACAAAATGAAATCTCTACTTTCTAAAACTCCAGCAAGTTTATTAAAGGATCTCTAAAATAGTAACTAAGTAATCTTAGTATGCATCGATGTATCAAGTTACAAGTTGGCTGCAATGTAAATAAAACACAGCGCAGCGTTTATGCACCGCCAACTGGCTATTCAGTACCGTTAGATACACACCGAGACCCCGACATAATTTCACTGAGTGCAAACCGCGATGCACTAACCTCTTCAGACATATAAACTTATACAACACTAGTAAAGCGCTACTCTACTCTGGAATTTCTCAGTCCAGTTTCATAGCCTGCATTCATAAGTGTGAATGTTTTGACCGGCGTTATTTGCTCAGTTTATCAACAGCAATCGGCTGCGCTTAGAAAGTCAGATTTGACTTAGCTAAGTCGCGGCCGAAGGTATTTTCGGTTTATGCAAGTGCTCATTAGGGAGCAGTTTACGACAATGTATTGTTTAGCATTCCAGCTATTGCATTTGTGTAATATGTAGTTTACAGCGAACCATCCACTTTATGAAAAATAAATGTTTATATCTTGTACTTTATTGATGCTCCGAATTTTATTGAATTTCTGTCAGTTATCTCATAAAAACATTATTAAACTGTCAAACACCAAGCGGTCACCGGTGACCGCGACCTATTGTTCTTTAATTGTGTCTATAAAACCGGTACTCGACGAGTTAATAACATGAATAGTATGTAATGTATCATCGGTAGTTTATGTCTATTATCGATGCTATAGTTCTATAACCGAAGGGTAGCGCACCGTATGTTGTCCTGTTCAGTATTTGTATCATGATTTGGTATAGAAATAAAGCCACAGCAACAAAAAATGTTCATTGTATTGATTAGTTAATTGATTTGTTTTTTTTTATTTTCAATAAGACCTGATAAAATTTGTTAAAAATAAAAAAAAATCATCGGAAGCGTGTGATAAAAAATATTAACAACTAAATCCTGATTGAAATGCGGAACCGACATTTCGATAGTCGAATAGTTATTCCACTTACCGGTGACCCTTACTGTTTTAACTGTTAAATTAATTCTATATTTCGTATACTAGCACTACAAGTCATTACCTGCGAAGGTAAGACGACTTTCATTACCTTTCTAACCATATTTCTTAAAGACTACTGAGGTAGTTACCCGGTACAAGTACAAAGATTTCACTATTAATAGTTACAAGATTGAATCGATAAAAGGCTTACTATATTTATAATTTCGAGTTTTTTTTATGGAATAGGTGGCAAACGTGCAGACGGATCACTTGATGGTAAGCGATCAGCGCCGCCCATGGACACCCGTAACACCAGAGGAGTCACAAGTGCGTTGCCGGCATTTTAAATAGGAATACACTCTATTCTTGAAAGTTAGAAGGTCGTATCGGTTCGGAAATACCGCAGATATAGTTATTTTCCTTCGTAAAGAAAAATGAAACAAAACTGCAAGCGCTATCAACAGGAAGTTTATCAGTAACGCTTGAATCAACGTTCGACAATAACAAACTGGTTTTTTAGGATTGCGATAAGTATATTACTTAATTTCAGTATGTTTATCATTCATTTTAGTTTTCAATTTAATTTTTCATAGGTATGATTCCGAAAAATGGAGAATAGGAACTAAATACTAACTAAAATACTCTTAGCCGCGTGTGGACCCTTGATCTGTATTCGTCGTTTAGAAAACTTGAATTCGTACTATCGTCCACGCAGTTTTTGCAATGAATAAACTTAAGACTAGTCATTGCAGTCCTGGCTAAATGTACCAAGTTATCGAGAGTATGAGCCAATTTTTTTGTGGGTTTAGGAACACTAGAAAATGATGAGGTGGCTCAGTTTTTTTAATACTAATGCGTGTGTAGTATAATTTTTTCGGATTTCCCTAGGAAGTGTGATCAGGGTGATATAGTAAAAAGGAAAGACAATGTAGGTTCCAAAAATAAGCCCTTGTCTGGCCTACCTTGTCTCCTTTGGACAAGACCCTCATCGCTCAGATAGCCAAATTTAAAGACTAGAATCCACCAGAACCAGAAATCAATATATTTTAAATATAGATACAGGTACAGACATAAGAGAAAAAGTAAACATTTTCTTTATTATCAAATAATAATATAAAGAATATTAATTCTGATCGCAAAAGTGACGATTGATCATACAATTGGTGTTAAATAGCTTTGAAGAATGGGTGTAATTAACTAAATTAGATACTTAGTTAATTGTAATAGTATAATTTAATTTCAATTTAATTTTGAGATTGATGAATAATTTTCACTGTAAATTTTTTTTATAAAATTGTAGTTATCTTTAGGGTGTAATAACACCCTATTTTATTGCAAGTCACTGAATAATATTTAAAGTGGTTTAAACTTTTTATAAATTTTCCCTTCATCACTGTTAGCTTTATATTATATGTATTGTATATTACATAGTATAATGTAACTAATTATTATGTTCTGTATAAAAATGAATTGCTGTTTGTTAGTCTTGCTAAAACTCAAAAACAGTAGGACGAATTCAGCTAATTTTGGTCTTAAATTATTTGTGAAAGTCTAGGGAAGGTTCAAAAGATGAGAAATAATTTCTTTGAGGCAATACAAAGTTTTCCAAGTCAGCTAGTATTATTTGTACATGTTTAAGATTACTGGTGTATGTAATGGCATTGGATATTTTTATATTTTTTTAGGGAAAGATATTATAATCCTGCAAAAATTCTTATTTAACTGGGATACCAACTAAAAAGCCTATTAAACTTATACATATAAAAACATATTCTAAATTTTAGTATGCAGAAGGAAGGTACAGATATACTAGTTTCAAGATATTGTTTCCACATAACTTGGAATAATAAAACTATGCAACTAACCAGAAGTAGTTAGTTTGGTTAAACCTCTTACTTGTTAATTAGGTAATAGGTATTGCATGTTGTACTTAACCCTTTGAGTACCGTCATTTTAGACACAATTAAAGAACAATAGGTGTGCGGACACCGGTGTCCTCGTTGTGTTTGACAGTTTAAAATTACATTCTATAAAACCACAAAACTAGTAGTAGTCTTACTTTCCACAGCAGCAACAGTCCATAGTGAAATATTCACAAAGAAACTATTTCTATAGTTATTATGAAATGCAGTAGACAATGAGTACATTTTAGCTTAGCAACAACTAAATAGTCGTACAAACTGTATGCCAAACATTAAACTGATAAGGGACAAAATACAACTAACTTTAACACTTAATGTTGAGTGAAACAACAATATATTACTCCAATAAAACATTCTCACTTTCTTCAAAAATACATGAAGGAAACTCAAACATTGCTATCGTAATTAAGGTGTTTATTCAATTATAATAATCATTACTCACTCATTAGTAAATTTTATGTTAACATGAAATAAGAATAATGTATCTTAACTATACAAAGCAGTCTAGTTCTATATTATTAAAAAAAAATTAGAAATTAAAATTATTCTTTGAGTTACAATAATTATGTTCAGAGTTCTAAAATGATCCACTCACCTTAGACGATCAACTACAGCTTGTCGTTTTGGTGGCAGGATCATCTCCTCCATGGGCTGCAGCATGTTGGGCGGGTGCTGCGCGGGCGCGGCGCCAGGCAGCAAGCCGCCCGCCCCACCGCCTCCAACCAGGTGCTCCACGGTGCCTGCTCTCTATTTACGTTTGTTCCATCATACTCCCCACAAGTCTTTAACCTACGTACTCCAGTATTCAAGTATTGCACCTTAAATGCGAGAGCACTAACAGAAAATAAACACAATTCGTCCTGAACATCCTCAACAGAATCTTCATGTTGTCACAATCTCCAGGTCTCTAAACTTCACAGATGCAAACCAAGTTTTTAAATTGATCTTATTGTAATCACCATTACACTAAAATTGCAGCTACACGTCAGTCTTAAATTATATAAATAAAGAAACACGTCAAATGATAAAAATGTTTTGAATCAAGTTATGCAGTCAACACATCGGAAACACTTTTAACTTTTTAAAAGCCACTCATAGTACAATTCTAGTTGTTACTATACATAAGATATTCACACCAAACTACAAGTCTCTGATTTAATTAACAACATTTCTCTATATTGAATTCTTCAAAACAATTTTGGAAAATCTTTTGCACAGCCAATCTTACATGTATGGCCAAACATCAACTAACAACTAACTGGTCTGTCATGTCACTGACTGACGCTTACTTGCTTTACTAAGCGTGTTCCAGTGACAGAAATAATAGATAAAGAAACATCGCAAATACTTTGCTTCGGAAAGTTATAACAAACCATGTAACAAAAAAATGCAAATTATGTGACTACCTAATAATAGTAGTTATTTTTAAAATAATATTTATTTTTATTCATTTCTAAAAAGGCAAACGAACGGAATAATAAATGGTTGGTAATACTAAATCTGATGTCACATTAGCTATGCTAATTTACTATGGTTCCGGTTCCTGTACAGGGAAGTAGGGGTGGAGAAGATTTAACCGCATAGTCTATTCGTACGCATTTGATTATGTAGATATTTATTTTTAGTTTGGCATGAAAATGTAAATCATATTAAAACTAGTGAACTATCTTTTAGGCACTTTCAAACTTTTCTTTCGAACTGAAACTATATCTGAAGTCAATAAACTAAAACCTCCTTACTGACATGACAAATGACAGTTTTAAAAGGGACGTTTTGTCAATAATGACAGTTGACAATGACAGCTTTTTTGACTGAAGAAAAGAAAGAAGAGGGAATAGTAGGTAGTCGATTCCATTCATCGGTTTCAAGTTGAATGATTGTTAGTTGATTAGATTCTATAAAAACAATTGCCAGTTAGTTATTCATATTGTCATGAATTAAGAAGTACGAAAATTAGAACCAAAGTTGTTTACACTGTGTTCATTAGTTCTTTATTTCGCAAACAAGTAATTTTATAAATTGATACACAGCCATGTCTGCTTTGCGATTGAGAATAATTGGTTATTCCACATTATGTTATAAGAGGTTATTATTTAATTCGATAAATCATGGCAAATGCCTTTCTAGCCTCTCTGCTTGTAATACAACCTTTAAGCAGCAGACCGGTAAGTTTTCTCTAAATATTATTTAGGTAGGAAACTATTAAGTTTCTTTTAACTCTGTAAACGTAGTGATATACTAAACAGTTTGAACAGATGCAACGAAAACGCCGGCATTTTTGTCGCTTCTGTTATCCTTGCAATTTCCTTTAAAAATTAAGATAAACTGATTCTATTATATTGACAAAAGAAACCTACTTCATTTTTAGGCTTGTACCTACAAAATTACCACCCAGTGAGATACTTCAGTGCTGCTGTAGAGAATCAAGCTGAAGCTCCTAAAACTACCTCATCCAAATCAAAAGAGACATTGAAAGGATCATCAGAAAAACGTGAATTCCAAGCTGAAACTCGTATGCTACTTGACATTGTAGCTAGGTCTCTATATTCTGATAAAGAAGTCAGTATAATATTTGTTATTCTTAATCTCATCACATAAATTGTACTTTAATTAGACTAACAATAAAAAACTTTAATCCCTCAGGTTTTTATCAGGGAGCTGATCTCAAATGCCAGTGATGCATTAGAAAAGTTCCGTTATTTGAATGTCAGCTCAGCTCCAGATGCTTCGAAACTGCTTGAGACAGACAGACCTCTAGAAATCAGACTATCCACTGATAAACAAAATAGAACACTAACTTTCCAGGTATCATGATAACAAAGTTCTAAAGTATCAAAAGTAAGTCGAAATCATCCATTTTATTTGAAATTGCACTTTTTCAGGACAGTGGCATAGGTATGACAAAAGATGAGCTGACTCAAAATCTAGGAACTATTGCCCGCTCTGGTTCCAAGTCTTTCATTGAAGAGATCAAAAAACAGGGCAAAGACCAGGCCAACTCTATAATTGGACAGTTTGGTGTGGGCTTCTATTCTGCTTTCATGGTGGCTGATAGAATTGAAGTTTATACCAGAAGCAGTGTTGAAGGGTCTCAGGGCTACAAGTGGCATTCAGATGGGTAAGTTATAATTTGTATTAAATTTGACAGACTAGTAGATAATTTCAATGCACATTTGTTTTACCAAAGCATTTATTTGTTATCTGAATGATTGCATAATGAATTAATAATTACCTAACATGTTCATTTTATATTTTTATCATGTATTATGTAAGTTATACATATTTCATGTGTAAAAATAAAAGTTAGTAATAATTCTTATCTAACTAACTCATTTCCTTATTTATAGATCTGGAGTTTATGAAATTCAAGAAGCAGATGGTGTAGCCATTGGAACAAAAATAGTTGTTCACCTAAAGACAGAATGCAGAGAATATGCAGATGATGAAATAGTTAAAAGTATGTATTAGAACAACATATTAATTGCAGATTTTCTTGTTATAATGCAATATAAGAAAATCTATTTTCTTTTTTCAGATATCATTAAAAAGTACAGCAATTTTGTGAGCAGTCCTATCTTCTTAAATGATGAACAAGTCAATCAGATTAAGGTATTATTACATTAACTTTTAAATAAATTACATAATTCCTCTAACATGGCATTTACCTAAATTATTATTTTTCAACAGCCTCTCTGGTTGATGGAGCCAAAAGATGTAACACATGAGCAACATGTTGAGTTCTACAGATATATCAGCCAGTCTTATGACAAGCCGAGATATACTCTACACTATAAGACTGATGTTCCACTCAGTATCAGAGCTATACTGTATGTCCCTGAAGGCAAACCAGGACTGTTTGAACTTTCCCGCGACTCTGACGTAGGCGTAGCATTGTATTCCAGGAAGATTCTCATCAAAAGCAAGGCTGAGAACATATTGCCAAAGTGGCTAAGATTTGTTAAAGGTTTGTTAATTATGATTCCATCTGAAAATAATGACTATAAATTGTCTAGACAAAATGGAGTCACTTATACTAATTAGTTAAATTTTCGTTATATTATGTAACTGTAATAATTTTGTGTTCTAGGTGTTGTGGATTCCGAAGACATTCCATTGAACTTAAGTAGAGAGCTTCTACAAAATAGTGCTCTTATTGTGTAAGTTTGTTATTTTTAACAGCAATAACATTACTAAATAGTAATTTACACATAAACTTGTTAGTTGTAAGGTTTTCGATAAATAATTTACGTAATTTTCCAGAAAACTGAAGACTGTGTTGACCAACCGTTTCCTTAAATTCATGATTGATACATCCAATAAAAATCCATCAGAATTTCAAGCATTTTACAAAGAATACTCTATATTCCTGAAAGAAGGAATTGTTACTAGTCAGAGTGCTATTGAAAAGGTAACTTAAACATAAAAGACCTGTTAGCATAATTTATAAATTTATATCTAATATCTAATTATGTTATTCTATTACTTCCAGGAGGAAATAGCTAAACTGCTTAGGTTTGAGTCCTCAAAACTACCAAATGGACAAAGAACTTCTCTCAGTGAGTATGCAACAAGACAAAAGGAAGACCAGAGAACAATCTACTATTTAGCGGCACCTAGGTTTGTAAACACTTTTTCATAATTGTTAACTGAACTATATAAGTTAATAATGGGTATTGTGGGTAAGTTCCATTGTCAATATGTAAACTATATATGTTATAATATTTATAAAGTTTTATGTATATAGCTAGGGATAACAAAAACAGATGAAGTATAGATTTTTTTTATACTTAGTAGGTCGACGTTTGGCCAACTGATTGCTGAAAATGCAATATACTTTGTTCTTTACAGTCGCGAACTGGCTGAATCTTCACCATACTTCGAGTCACTTAAGAAACGCGACGTGGAAGTATTATTCTGCTACGAAATGTATGACGAACTTGTACTATTGGAACTGAAGGAGTTTAACAACAGGAAACTCGTCTCCATCGAGAATGACATGCAAACTAAGGCTACAGAGGAATCGGATGATATTATTGGTAATAATTTTATTGTAATTCGTGGCATAAACCTATTAAGCCCTATAGTATATTATTAATAACGAATATAAACTTAGCGATAAAATTAAGGAAAGAGGAGACACAATTTAATTTAAAATTAATGATTACCAGGCAGTGACGCCCTACAGCAGTCTCAAGTGGATGAAGTTATTTCCTACCTAAAGTCTCATTTAGCTGGCAAAATATTTGATGTGAAAACAACATCGAAGTTGGAAACACATCCGTGTGTTATCACTGTACAAGAAATGGCAGCAGCTCGACACTTCATTCGCACTCAAGCTCAAAATCTCAGTGAAGAAAACAGATTTGCGCTTCTAAGGCCACATCTAGAAATAAACACAAAGTGAGTATTTCTACATTCTCCTTTGAAAATGAAAACCCTTTTAGTGATACAAATACCAACATCATCGCCGTTTTCGCCTTTAAAAGATATCAGAAAAGCACGAAAGCAAAATTACTGCTATTTTACATTAATTACTTATAAATTATCACGCTTCTTTTTCAGGCACCCTATAATCAAGAAACTTCATAAACTGATGTCATCTGATCCAGAATTAGCCAAAATGATTTCTGAACAACTGTTTTCAAATGCCATGGTCACAGCTGGACTTATACTGGACCCAAGGAATTTAATTGTTCATATTAATGAACTTCTAGTTAAAGCTTTAGACAAGCATTAGATTTGTATTGTTAAAATAATAATTTAATGATTTATTATAAAGATTTATGTTATGTACTTACCAAATGGTTTAGATTAAATTTTCTTTTTTTTCTATTGTTATTTTGTAGTTTTATTTTGAAGCACATAATAGCTGAAAACTAAAATAATGATACAAACCTTTGAATGAATGAAAGAGCCCACGCGCTGTTTTAAGTTTACAAGTTTTCATGTAATTTTACTGCATGGTTGGTGCTGTAGTTCTCTATGCCGACTGCTGTGCTATGTGTCGCGGATTCGATTCCCGCATTATAGTTTGTGTGTATGGCCACGAGCGTGGAGGGTGGACAACGTTAAAAAATAATTAGGTATTCTAATTATAAGCCAATGCTATTTTCTATACATTTACTCATATAAATAAAAATAAGGTTAGAAGTTGTAGTTAAAGTCTGCTCAATAGGAGGATAATGTCCAAATTCTATTATATTATTAGTAATATGTAGTTAGTTTTCCTTTGACCTCCAAGTCATTTAGCTTACATTAGTTAAATGAAAGGTGTGGCCGGACAAGTCCATTCCATAAATTGTATATGAAATGACTACCAATATTAATGAAACGTATCGGTCGAAGCAAATAATCAGAAATCAAGTGCGGCTGGCGACAGCGTTTTAAAGGGTACGTAACGTATGATATCCCTTTGGGGATTGTGACGTTGTACCATTTTATAAATAATAAAAAAGAATTAATGTTTAAATTAAATTAACAGCAATTAAAGCACGTAATGCACATTCAATAATTTATAAATATGATGATGGAGTGAATTTCTTCGTAAAACGAAGTGTTTTAACGAGATAGATTATATTGAACGCATCATTCATTCATTACAGCTTAACGTAAAAAAAAATAAGTTTGAATTTGAACGCAGCGTCACCGGCGCGTAAGCTTGCTTGGTTGCTGTTTCTACTTGCGGCATTTTTATGGCGGCTTTTTATTAAAATAAAAACTACAAGTAATTTAAGAGTTTATATGGTTTTGTTACTGTGGTTGCGTACTATTTAATTATTTCATATGATACATCTTATTCAAGTAAGTACTTCATTTAATATTTGTGTGTTATTTATTCGAGAGGCTTGTTTTTATTTCAAAGGTGTTTTTCTATTTCTATACCTCCACGAATCATGAAATATACCACGGATTGATTTATTCAAAGCTAAATTTATCAGTGGAACTTGTAATTTATGTTGAGAATGGAGAAGTAGCAATAATTTGCACGAGTCGACATACATAATGGTGCTAATCCTACCGTAGCGGAACAGGGCTTTGTGTGAGACGAATAAATAAATGAAACAATTTTGACGCTGTGCAGGTATGAGCACCATGGATATAAATAAAGTGGAATATGAGGAAGACAATAAAACTATGGACAAGAAGCAAATTGAGGCTGAGGAGAAGGAAGTGATGCTAAAAGCTGAGGTGGAGAACATCGAGCCTGCGGAGTTGAAGCACGATGACGGGCCTGTGAAGACGGCCTTGTCCGGTGACCTCACGGAGATGGGCCGTGAAGTGAAACCGAAGTTTATACCCATTGGAGCTATCAAAATGCCTGGATTCTTCACAAAAAATTCAGATAAAGATAAGTCCAAGGTAAATCTCAAATTTTTATTGGTATTCATTAAAAAGCATTGATTTGATGTAATTGAAAGTGTCCACAATTTATTATGTTACCATCTAAAAAATATTAAAGAATCTTTGTATATCTCCAGAATATTAAATTATGCCTGCTATGAACCCCTATAGATAAATGGATGTGACACAGTGCCATGATATTTATAATAATTAATTTACTTCAGGATGAAGAGGCAGCTATTGAAAAAGATACAGAGAATGAAAAGACTGATGATAACTCCAAAGTCAAGGAGAATCGTTTCCAATTTCTACAGAAATTCACTAAATTCTTGCAACATCAGGATAATGAAAATGGTGGTGAGTTATTTTTTGTGTATAGGTACATAATACTTGATGCAAAATGATTGAGTTTAGTCCTCAAATCAGTGTATTTAAGTATTTATTCCTCCATACTCTTTTCTTATAACCATAATATAGTCTGATACACTGGTTATATTATGTCTCAAGAGACTATTTTCATTTGCTTCTGATACAGCTCAGACTTAATACTGATTACTATGGAAAATCGTTGTAGTGGTACTTAACTAGTAACAATTTGATTTCAAATTCTACTCCTGTGCGGTGCCATCCACTGCTCAGCTCCTATTGGCAGTAGCATGATGTTTTATAGCCTATTGCCTTCCTCGATAAATGGACTATCTAACAAATTACTCAATTTAAACCAGTAGTTCCGAAAAATAGCACATTCAAACAAATTAACAAACTCTTTAGCTTTATATATTAGTATAGATGAAAAAACATAAATGAAGTGTATACGTAATCATTTCGATTCTGCATTGTGACTAATATATCTAACTGTAGACACACAGCAACAGTTGAAAGTTTTAGTCTGAGATGCAAAATAATCAAGAGAACAAAAATAAATTCATGTGTTTGTGTTTCAGAGGAAAAAGAAAAAGATCGCAAAAGAGGTCTATTTAACATCAGATATCCAAGAGTTTTCCAAAAACGTGGCAGTGCCCCAAATAATGAAGCAACTCTTGCCTCTATGGAAACTTTGGATGACAAGCTGGATACACCTAATGATGGCATGGAAACTGTGAAACTAGAACCTGCTGTAAGTTTCACCTAACATATTATTTTTAACCGACTTCATTAATTTACATAAATCTAACTGCAAATCATCTTATGTTTAATTAAATAATAGAATTACAAAAAGAGTTGCCTAGTTTCTATTATCTTATTTCAAATATTTACTGTTGTAGAGTAAACTGGAGAGATGAGTTCTTTAATCAAATAACAATAGTTTATCAATCCCCTACTTGTACAATAAACTTAAATTGCTACAATTGATGTCCAAAGCTGCTACATTATTGTTAATACAATATTATTAATGTTTGTATTATTACTCGCTTTCCAGCCATGAAACATAATAATGTGTTTGTTATATTATGAATATATCCATTATTTATGTTTGTATTTTATAGGAAATTGAAGAAGGTAAAGTAGCCACCAAACTTCCATTAAAGGAGAGGATTCGCCAAAAGAAATTTATCATAGGTAAACAAAATATTTTATTATTTTATAAATAATTCTATTCTAACATTTTCAATCAGTTCTGTAATATATATTTTTTTTATTGCAGATGATATTGTCGTAGTTGGAATAGTAGTGCTAGTCCTGATAGCAGTTATCATCGGTATCATAATCGGCGCTAACGCAGGACCACCGGTTGAACGACCCCTACGCCTTGGTCGCTATATCACCACTTTCACCAGCTGTGGACCTGTCGAAGGGTATGTGTTATAATGATGTCATATTTGGTAATATGTTCCATGATATTTTTTAATTTTTGATATTTTTTTACAGTATTCTGGATGAAGGAGTTTACAAATTCTTCAGTATTCCCTATGCTAAGCCACCAGTAGAAAATAACAGATTTACTTATGCTCAGCCCTTAAATAACATATCATCTTGCTGGAATGGAACTTACGACGCGCGCGCAAAAGGTCCTCTTTGTATACAATTTTTAGAAAATGCTACAATAACTGGTGAAGAAGATTGTCTGACACTTGATGTGGTCACCCCTCACGTGAGATACGATTCGCCATTGCCAGTTGTGGTTTTGATTGGAGCAAATACCTTAGCTGGTGGTATCAGTCCTGCTCAACCTTCTGCCTTGTATGCTCGCACAAAAGAAGTAGTTTTTGTACGTCCTAATTTTAGACTTGGTCCTCTTGGATTTTTAGCTCTTGATATTTTGTCAAATAGCAGGTACCCTCATACATCAGGCAATTATGGACTTAGCGACTTGTTCATTGCATTGAAATGGGTTCGTTTGAACATTAAACATTTTGGAGGCGATCCCGAATCTGTTACTTTGTTGGGTCACCGCGCGGGAGCTACATTGACCGCTGCTTTGACTACTATTAGTCAGGCTCATAAGTTGTATTCACGGGTATGGTTATCCTCTCCATCTGTTATCTTCCCTGGTGAACCACTAGAACAATCTCAAAAATCAAATATCAGGTTCAAAGAAATGACTAAATGCAACGATGTCGATTGCTTGCGGCAAATTTCAACTACAGAAATCCTAACACCAGATTTTTGGCTTGAAAATTACATAGGAAAACTACCTACTACCGAAGAATTAAAGCATTCTTTATTGGTGTTAGATGGAGAGTTTATTAGACTACATGCATACGAAAGTTGGGATGCCCAAAAAGAAGCTAAAAAGTCAGGAAAAGAAAAAGTTTTTAAACCAATGGTATTTGGTACAACTCAACATTCTAGTCACTCTGATCTTTTAAAGAAAAAATATCTTAACTGGACTGCTGATATAGTAGAAAAAATTGTCAATGAAAGTGTAATTGGTGAAAAGAACCTGACGTCTTCTGTGTTCACACATGTTAATAAAACTTATGAGGGTTTGGTGGAACTGATTTCTTCGGTTCGTACGTTGTGTCCTTTGGTTAGTCTCGCTAGATTACGTCTTGAGGTTCCGATGTATGTAGTGCTTGGAGCAGGAGCCGGCGGGGGTGCTGGCGGGTCTGGAATAGCCGGTATAAATGCAGACGTCGAGGCCATTTTAGGAACATTCGATTCAGATATGCCGGAACAACGTCGGTACATGGCAGCTATGCAGCAGCTATTTTATTATTATGTATGGCATGGTCACCTGCCTGGACCAGAGAGTGGCTTAATACAAGTTGGTCAAGATTTACTTCCTCTTAGTGGCTTGCCTCTTTGTGATCTGCTCATTAGGGAAGATATAGTACCTAGGTATGCACACATTGACTAAAGAGGAAGGCGATGTTTTTATGACCCTGTAATAAATTTGACAAAACTTGTTAATATGTGACTCTCTTGCTCCAATATTTTATACCCTATTGCTTTATAACTATATACACTTATAATAATACTCTCGCTGTCTATTGTGTACGTGTTTCATAGATATACAAATAGTTAGTAGTAATATTTACCGAAAAGTGTTATGAGAAACCAAATAACGTATCTGGAGAGATACCATTTATGTTTAGTATTATTTATTGAAATCGTAAAGTACAAAATTTCTGACATTGTGTTCTTGCTTTTGGATATTAACTCTTCTCTCATAGACTTAGTAATGTATCAGTGGAATGTCTATTTACGCAATAGAATTAGTTAAACGTTAGGATAAGGATATTATGTGACTGATGAAAAATTGATCTTGTCTGACCAGGCAGCCTCTTTTCTACTCATTTTGTAATAATAGTGTATATTAAAATTGTTTCAGTTACCTTATTTTTAGACAATGTGTTTTTCTACTTTTATATGAACAATGAATTATTTTTTATATATATTAGAATGCTTAAGAAACATTGATCCTGACGTTTTTTATGAAAAATTATACAAGACTGATGAAATTTCAACCTGCGAAACAGTATTGCTAAACAAATTTTAATAATAATGACTTGACAAGGATGTGGTCTTCCATTCTTGAAATGTATGAAAAAATATGAGATATTTTTCATTAACACAATAAATTATCTCAAGATCAATGTTTTGATAATATTTGGTAAGATTTATTGCATTAATCAGCTAAAGTGAGAATAGACATAGATTTCGTGTGAAATTTTACTTAGGTATATGCTTTTAAGTATACAGATGTTGTTAGCCAATGTCTGCACCCATATACATCACATTTGTCCCACCTTTTAGACCAAATATTTTTTGTAAATGGTTAGTTTTTTACCTTTGTATTGGAGTCACCCCTGAGATTAATTGTGGGAATGTGAATGCTCTCACTCTCAATAAAAATGGACTCGCTTTTAATAGAGGGGACATGAAAAGGTACTGCATCGATAACAATGACGTGTTAAAACTGGTGTAAGATTAAACCCCATTGCTTGCCTTTATTAAGAGGGGTGACTCATGATTGCGACAAAATCTCGGAATTTAATAGTACTTATTTAGTTCAATAATTGTCTCAAAGTAAATGTGATTTTATGAAGTCTGATCAATCCAAAGAAATGTTTAACAATTTACAGCATTATAATTGTTATATAAATTAAGTTATTTATGTGTTATTATTATTGTAGTACACAGGGAATCTCCATATCGATATACTCTTGTCTTGCCAAATTGCTTTGTCATTAAGTTATTGCACTAGCGCTATTGTAGTATAGATACAACTTTTATGTAATTTTGTAAATTGATCCAAATAAATTTTGTTTAAGACTGAAATATTGTTATAATTTTTACGATTACTTTTGCTTTATTATTTCTAAATTATGATTTAAATTGTTCTTGTCGTTGAAGAACCTATTCAAAGACTTGAAAAGCCCCGTGATACACTTAACATGTATGTTGGAGTGTACTACACTTAAGCCCATTTTCACCAACTTGGGCTTTCACCACTTAGGTGTTACTGCTAGACATTTCATTTAAATACATTTTGGTTTCCACCACCCAATGCTGTGACTTGTCCTGATTGCGCCTCATTCACATCTATAGCATATTTATACCCGGAACAACAATTTGTGAATCTCACGTAGTTGTCGTTTTTCGGGATCGAACCCGCGAAATATACTTGCGTAGCACCTCGTTGCCCAGTCGCTGCTTGCGAAAGTTATATTGTTCCGCGGGTGAGCCTATTATCATCATAATAATACGTGTCACACGCCAGTAACAAGTATATGCGAGGGGCATTACATGGGTGGGATGCCTTCTTTATGTTCTGTAGGTGGGATGCATAACTGGCCGAAGAGTGGGCCCATCCCCTTCGATGGATTAAAATTAAAGGCGACATAGTACTATGCATTAGATCGCGTTTTAACCATAATAAAACAAAGTTTGTAATCTTTGGATAGTTTTATTTACGAAACACTACAATAAATAGTAGATATCAGATAACACGAGGTGCCACGCCAACGAGACACTGCTAGACAACTTTATGTGATTGTAATATGGAATCAAATTATTAAATAGGTAGTTTAAAAAAATATAACAAATTAAGTCAAAAATTTTTAATAGAAATAAATAGAATAATTATGAATAAATTACCGTTTTGGTGTAACGTTCAACATTGTTTTGATAATGAACAATTTCCTTTTTTATATAGGTATAACAATCTCAAAAACACAATTCAAAAAACATTCGTCAAACAATAAGGTCACAAAAATATAACGAGACTGGTTCTAATTCGTATCAATGATTACGTTCACGTAGCGGAGATATAATGGTCTGCAAGTTTTCTTTTCCAATTTTAGACGACTTTCGTAGTAGTGAAGGTGATTTAGGTTTATACAGTAATTGTTCAGAGTCCTTCTTCATTTTGTCAATAATTGAAGACTGTTTTGCTACTGTCATTGTTAATTCCTCGTTTTCTTGACGTAGCAGCGATAACTCAACCACTAGAGACTGCTGGTCCTGAATCTGAAATTGATAAACATTTTTTTTTATATTTGTTGTTTCAAATTAACTACCTACCTATTTGCATTAAATGTGGGAGGGCCGTGATTCGGCACGAATGGGCCGACTCGACCGGAGTGGTATCACGGCCTCACAGAAAAGCGACGTCAAAAATCACTTGTGTTGTGTTTCGTTGTGAGGTCACCTCCCTAATCCCAGAACCGAACGTACTTGTAACACCTCTGGCGTTATAAGTGTCCATGGGCTGCGCCGATTGCTTACTATCAGGTAATTCGTGTGCTCGTTTACCGGCTTATTTTTTTTAAACTGTGGCTGTCTTACCTGTTGTTGTAAGCATTGGTTTTCAGTCTCAAGTCGGTTGATTTCGGCTGCGGCCTGCGCAAGCAGTGCTCGTGACTGTTCAGCTGCAGCTGTAGCCTGCCCTGCATGTTCAGTAGCCAACTCACACAGCTTGCGTTTCTTCTCCACCTAAAAAAGTAGTTTAAAGTTATAAACATAAAATTATTATTTTACAAAAAAAGAAATAGGTGTTACAAAATATAAGTAACATTTACCTCCTCGCGAAGTAATTGAATTTGCGAATTTGATTCTTTTTTCAACAGCTCTACATCTTCTATTAGCTCATTCTTGATAGTGCCTAGTTCACGATAGGCTTCTTTTTCTACGTTTTGTAAGCTTTCTATCAATGAAACATTGTGTTCCATAATGCGATTGTGCTCCTTGGCTAAAGCTGCTTTGGATTTTAATATATTTACTAAAGCCTCCTTGTACTCATTGCATTCCATTGCAGTGTTGTTTAGAGTGGTCTTATAATTTTCGAGTTCATTTTCCAAAATTTCCTTGGTATTCATTAGTGTTTGTACTTTTTCTTCCAAGTGTTCCAATTCATTATCAGATTCCCTCAATCTCATAGTCAAAACTTCAACAATATCTCTAGTTACTGACAAAGATGTTTCAAATTTGTTCTTATCCTTTATTGCCTTGTCCACCTCAACTGTTAGTTTATTTTTTTCATTCTCAAAATCTATGAGCTTCTTCTTAGCATCCTCTTTTAACTCATCTCTTTCTTCAATGAGAACCTGTTTTTCTTTGTTTAAGGAGTCATTTTCGTTTTTCAGATTATTAATTTCTTTTTGGAGGCTCATTTTTTCTTCACCTAATATAGTTATTTTGTATTTTAAGTCCCTTGCTTCATTTTCTAGGTATTCAATTTTACTCTGCTGTTGTGTGCAATCATCCTGAATGCTTCTAGTCCGTTCTTCAAACTGTATCTCGCAAAGTCGTAACTTTTCCCGAGTTGCTTCATTGATTTGTTCTATTTTAGCTTTCATTTCATTGTCCTTACTGATTAATTCGTGATGGAGTTCCTGTACTGCTTCATCCTTTTCTTTTAATATTTGATATTTAATTGATTCTATTAGCGATTTATAATTTGATTTTAGATTTTCTTGGTCTGACTTTGACTTGTTTAAGATTGCTTGTTTTTCCTCTTCCAATTTAGATTTTAAAGTTTCCAGCTCTGCTTTGTATTCACGTCGGATGCTCTCATTTGCTTCTAAAGCAAGAGCATGGTGTCCTTTTACCATTTCAAGTCTTTGAATAGTTTCTTCTAAATCTGTTTCAGCCTTTGTTAATTTTAGTTGCAGGTCTTGACATAAACTATCTCTAATAGTGATAATTTCTTCAACTGATCTCAGCTCTAATTGCTTATCAGTGACTTCTTGTTCTAATTTTTCACATTGTTTCTCCAATTCATATATTTTGCTATTCATTTGATTAATTAAATAGTTATCACCATTTTGTACTACTGTTTCTATTTGATCTTGTTGCAGTTCCAAATCTTCTATTGTGATCTGTGAAAATTGGCTGTCCAAGTTGTTAAAGTTATTTTGTCTAACTTCTTTTACTTCTTTCTCCAGTTGAGCAATGGTTTGTTTAAATTCTTCAATTTGTTTTGTGTATTCAGCAATGGTGTGATCCTTATTCCTGAAAACGTTTTTTTTTTATTTTTCAACCATTTGAAGAGAACCCTCGTAACTTATACATAAAGACGGTTAGTCATCAAAAGAACGAGTTATCTTAATTTTAACCAAGTCAAAGATTTCAAGTAGTGGCAACCAATGTGCTAGTATAAAGGACCATTACATATTTAACTGTATTGATGTAAAAGATTTTAAATTGATTGTATGTTCTTGAGAAAAAAACAATTTTTCTAAGACCATAACAAAAGAAAAATTGTTGAGATAAGGAAATACACAAGTAATAAATTATAATTACCTTATTTCTACTTCCTGAGATTTAATCAGTTCCTTTGCAGTTTCATTCTGGATCTTAGTATTTGGTTGGTCATTCTTCTTCTTCAAGCTGGTAGGAGCTTTGATTGTTGTTTTTAATGGCTTTGGCTATAAACAGAAAATTATTATAGAATTATTTAAACAAAGAGATGATTAGATAGACTTACTTATTAAAAAAATTAAAAAGCATCATTATTTTACAGTGAAGTATAAGAACTCAATTGTTGTTATTACCCAGCTGTAAATATTTTGAAGAATACATTAGATACAGGAATTGGAAAGAACATCATTTTATACTTAATTATTACTTACAGTAGCAAATGACCGGACACTGTGTACGGAGCTGCATTGAGATTGCACATCAGAATGGATCTTGGAAGATGTTGGTATAACAAATGGTTTCGGTTTGACCACTGTAGTGGCAGCTTTTGTATTAACTTTTTGTTTCTCATTTTCTGGTTTTATCAGTTTATTCTGACACTTTTTAGAGGACTCCGGTGCTGGAATTATAAATTGTAATGGATTATGCAAATTACACAATTAATACCTATCTATACAAGCATAGTGATGAGGTCATGTTTTTAAAAAAAAGTTTTAAACCTTTTTTAAAAACTATATAATATGTAAGTAGGTATTGTACTTTTATGTTTGTTTCATCAATGACAGATATTTCTGTCTCAGATTTTTATATCAATTAAACATACGATGTGATTTACACCATGCACCTTTTAAGGTCAGCTGTTAGTCTTAATCAAGTCACCATCATAACAGAAGACCTACCCACTAGTTTAAATGAGTAGGTAGATTAGCCTATTGCAGTGTACATTTAGCCAGGTAGATATCTACCTTAGCTGAGATATAATTTAACACTAAGAACAATTATGAAATGCCGCGAAAAATAATTTCAGTAAAAAGTCAATCACTTACCGAGTGGTTCAAACCGCTTTGCTTTTGAAAACATTATTAACAATAAATTAAATTAATTTTTAATTTCATAAATAACGAACTTGTCTAAAATTCTAAATAAAATATGTAACCGTCAACGTGTGCTCTCCAGTCTCAAAATGAAATAACGATCGCGCGGCGTGCAGGTAATAGGTGATCGTATCGTAAAGTAGGGGATAAAGTTACACAACAGGGTGAAACGATGAATGCGCGCGCGCGTAAATTATTATTACTTCACAGACGCAGACGCACCCCCTGACCCCTGCTGATCGATGGGCGACGACCGTTACAAAACGTTCCATTTCACGTTCAATATTAAACGTTTTTTTTTATAACGATTCCTGATCGTGACAGGGATTTTTTTTATAATATAAGAACAAATCCCGTTTAGTCCCAAGGACTTAATTTCTCCTTATATAAATAACTCCCTATTTTGGTAGTATAATAAAATGTTTATATTATCTAACTGAAAACAAATTAGTATTATTTTATATAAAGCTGTTGCCAGAACCAAGCAAAATATATGTACTATTAAATTTTTCTCCTAATTATATCACAATTACTTAATTATATTGTTTTTGAAAAGGCTCCCAAAATTGCTTGCTATAATAAAGAGTTTAAGATTTAACTATCAATACTGCATATTATAACATGCTTTTTTTTAAATCATCAAGAAAAAAAGATGGACGGTATGTACTACGTTTGGACATTTGTCATTTCCAAAATATAGACCAATATTATATTTTTGTTGTTAACGGTTCTCTTGGTTAACTGACAGAAATTATAGCTTTGTAAGCATTTAAGCAATAACTTCAACAATATCATAAAATAAAAAATTTGCATTTTAAAATATCTTTTATTACTTAAAATTCTAATTAAATTAATATTTTTATTCACACTTATTTACATTGAAGGTGGTGGTGGGGGTACAGGTAATAAGGGTGGAGGAGGAGGTACTCCCATTAATGGAGCCCCAGGAGGAGGCGGCAGTCGCATTCCATGATTCTCCCACATCTTGGGAGGAGGTGGTGGCATACGTAATGGTTCCATTTTAAATGCAAATTGTAGGAAGAACTGCTTAGTGTCTTTATTCCAGTGAGTCCAGAACTTGGAGTCATGTTTCTCCACTTCTCTGCTTGGAACTTTGAATGCAATTGTCTCATATGGTTCAGCAGCAAACAACAAGTATTGCCACCTGCGGTCTGGAGGTTCTATCTTTTGCTCATAGGCAGACATGAAGCGATGTCTTGGTTGTACTCCTTCAGCAATTTCTGTATGGAAAAATTTCTTGGTTACCACATCTGGTTTTAGAAACTTACATAGTTAAAATCAAATAATAGCTGTATTTGCAACAACTGGAATGTAATAATGATCAAAATCTAAACTTGTTAAATTGAATTACTTATAAAATCTTACCAGGATAATCTACTTGAAATAGTAAGCTTTGTTGGCCATTTTCAGGATCTTTCTGTTTTGTAACTCTGTAACCAGGTCTTCCAATCTTGACAAATTTCTTGGGTTCAATTCTAGGCTTCTCAGGGGCTAATTGTTGCGGTGCCTCTTTAGCTTCTTTTGCAGCTCTACGCGCTAAATTGGCTTGATGTTTTTTACCCTGAGTATGAGCTAAATAACTTCCTTCATTGTTGTGAAGAGTTAAACAAAGCTTGCACTCATATGATCCTGTAATAACAAAAATAATATTAATTTGTGAAACAAATGTGATTTTTATTCAATAAAATTGACATAATTTTCAGGTTATGTTATTTTTTCATTTATCACTATCAAGCTATTCATGTACATGGACAAACATACCCAAATGATTTTTCATAAAATAGGGATCCTTATTCAAATCAATGGTCTCCAACGCCAGTTGACGAAGTCTTTCGCGTCGGTCTCGATTACTTTCAGACCATGACGCTACTCCTCCACCACCAGTTTTACCGCCAGGGCGGTTTTGAAAATCCATTTTGACTTAAAGTAGGAGAGTTTTTAATTTAATTAGCTCAAGTTACTCTCAGTATTTGATAATATTGTGTTTACAAAATGTATAAACTTTTAATAATTAGCAACAGTCGACGCTTATCGCTGTCCGAAAAGCAACTTCAACATGTAAACGTAACGTAACATGACATTGACAATGACAACTTACATGACATTTATGATGTCAATGTATCTATGGACATCTCAGAGTTCCCATTCATTAAAAAATAAAAATGCTTACTAGACGTTGAAATATTTTTTAATTCTGTATTAAATACTCTAGTTACTAAAAAAATTGTTACCGTTAGTTTTAGTTTATTTAAGTTGCAAATATGTGCAATTTAAATAAACTAAAATTATATCCTTATTTTTCATTACAATTTTTTCTTAATACAAATGAATTTATTGACTATTAACATGTACAACTTAAAATATAAATAATTGAAAATTAAATAAGTATTAAAAATAAAGACGAATTCAACGTTATTAGTATGAAGATTTATTGGCGACCGCTTTATCGGATGGATCTTCGTATTTATACACTTTTTTGGGTAATTACTCGAGTAAAAATGTATAAATAACCAGTATCTATCCATTTTTAGTATTTATCAGTCATCTAACCAACCAAGATTGTGTAACCAAGGATTTGCCGAATTGCCAAGACGTTGAAAACATCAAAATTAGAACAAGCATCAGAAGCTATGTCTATTTTGAACCAATGTTTATGTCCTGTACCCCAAAGAGTATAATAAGTATAGGGGTTCTGTACCCCTATACTCAAAGAGTACCTATACTTATTGTACTCTTTGGTCCTGTATCTTCATTAAAATATTTCATCTGCTCAAAAACACAAACAACATTTTTTATGCAACGACCATATGGTCGTTGCATAAAAAAGAATAGAAAAAATAAAAGAAAAGAATAGATATATATCTATTCTTTTCGCCAATCTCCAGAATTAAAGAATGTGGAATAGGCTATATAATATCACGTCACGCTACGATAAATAAGAGCCGAGCATAGCAGGTGAAACTACGCGGAAATAGCTAGTATCATAAAAAGTTGTTCTCTGACTGCAGCACTTTGCGTAGCATTCAGTCAGTCCATCACCCACTGCCCCAACCAATCAGTATGAAGCCTTAAATATGACCAGCATTCAGCAATAAAATAATAAATCTGGTTCTGGCCCAATAGGATAGAGCCTGATGTCTGTGTTAAGGCAAAATGATGCTCAATTTCGTTCCAGATAGAAAATGTTTGCTTTTACGTGAATAAATTTTAATTTTTGTGTGCGTGCGTGCGTAATAATAATTTCAGATTACATGTTGAATGAAATCAGTTATTTTAAAAAATTGTTGAGGAAGCGAAAGAGTTATGTAAGAATCGTAGCAATTGGCATTCTATAGTATCTGCCTACCCCCATGGGAGACAGGCGTAAATATGCGTGTATGTATGTAAAAACGGATATTTTCTCATATTTACTCAATATTCAGTCATTTGACTATTTATCCAAAAAATGCCCATGTGAAGTTAGAAGTAAGCTGTTTCTGTTAAATGTTCTCAAAATTAAACCACAGACGTTTATGGAACGGAGTTAAAGACACAAACATTAGTATATTTTCTCTATAATCAAACTTTAAATAAAGAAAGCAACATTACTTTTGCAAGTAAAGCAAGATCCATTTATTACTTGCATATTAAATTCGTTGAAGGTTCCTCGTTTCCTGCTTTGACAAAGCCTGCACTGCAATACATACAATACTGAGGACCTGGTTTATCTAAATTTATGTAAACCCGAGGATGCCCTTCAGCTCCACTGCCCCCGTCACACCACACAATTCTGCCTGATATTTTTTTTGGAGGTATTGCAGCCACCAACTTTACCGGCCAATTGGGGTTAACTAGTTTCGGTGAGTGCATAAACCGGCACATTCGATAGTCACGGCAATCCCATTTCTGACCTGTATGGGTAACAACGTCATCAGCTTTAGTAGCCATATAACGAACATTGAATTGTTTAGTGTTTTGAAACACAATCCTTATAAGGTTCCTCTGCATTATTATTCATATAATTCGTACAACTTTTACGATCAATTTTACGATGTTTCTTTATTTGATGTACTCAATGGATGTAAAAAATTATAATAAACCTATATTCTTTGGAAGTAACGCAGTCGATTTGATATATGTCAAAATTTGCGAAATACGGAATATCGATTTTGTCAAGGACGTTAAAAAAAGTGAATACAGTCTCTTGAAACGACGATTGTGGCACCTGGCTACTACTTATAGACTTACACGCAGAATACACATTCATCGATACGAAGGATATATTCTGTTGCGTGACATGACGCGGCTCATAATTACACTTCGTACATTACAATGTTGGAAATATATGCACACTTAAATACACCACTGACATTTTGGTGCTTCAATCTTTTTTATATAACATTATGTCCGCCTTTGTTTTTTCATTTTCTAACGTCTTTATTAATGACTTAATTCGTCGAGCTCCGTCTGCGTGCCAGCTGCTATAGGCCTAATGGCTTGGTACGCGACGATGGCAAGAGAGCTGACGGTACGTCATTATACCCTTGGGAAATTGGTGGGCCTTAGTATGAGACGCCACTTTCGTTGATATTCTGGCATCATCCCGTCTTCCAAACTCACCTCACCTCTGCCGAGAACCTCAAACGGCGAAAATATAATAGCCTGAATATGGTAATTATGGCTTCGAACCGTTTGGGGTTGAAACTTTAGGGCCGTGATCGCACCGGAATCCAAGTGCACTGGGATGCAAGTGCACATCTTTTTTACTAAGATATTATAAGGAGCCCTCCTTACATTGTTGATACTTCAGGTGATCGAAAGGCCGGCTAGTACCTTGATCAAAGGTTAAGCATTGCCTTGCCCCTTGCCATTCAATGTGGCAATGCTGGCAGTCTTTTGGGCTCCCTATCTCACGATAACGATGAGGATGCGTTACTTTTAAGTACTTAATTTTTTGAGGTAATTTTTATTCAAACTTTTATTTTTATTATTATTTTAATTTCATTTTTAGTAAAATTTAAATTAATATTTCAACTGCCAGAAAAAATTTAAAATATATTTTTAGGAATACACACACAACTAAAATATTGTTTTTAACTTTATAAATCGGATAAATTCAATCGTTAAAAATATCGACTAGAAATATTATGTTAAATAACTCAATATCTCCGAATCTTTACCTGGAACGACATTTGCATGTCAGACGTCAAACTGATTTCGGTGATCCTTTTCTTTTGTCAAAATAGGCGGAAGGTACTTTCAGACATTGAAATCTATTTTTATTTTTGTAATCTAAAAACTTTTAATGATTTTAGTTATAAAATTGAAAACTATGTTGTATTATAAATAACGTGTCATAATTATTTCATTTATGTGGTGGTCAGTGGTGAATCAAAATTAAGATAACCTAAGTGCTTATTCTGTGTCTTGTTTTTAGGTAGTGCTTCAAGATGTTGATGCCTAAACAGAATCGCGTTGCTATTTATGAATACCTCTTTAAAGAGGGTGTTATGGTAGCCAAGAAGGATTACCATGCTCCCAAACACCCCGATCTGGAGAAGATTCCTAACCTCCAAGTTATCAAGGCTATGCAGTCATTAAAATCCAGAGGATATGTCAAGGAACAGTTTGCCTGGAGGCATTTCTATTGGTAAGTGTGTAAATTATAAATTTTTATTGAATGTTTACTAATGAAAATACTGTTTTAGTCCTGTAAGCTTGCCATAAGATTGATAGTCGTTTGACTGATTGTCTCATAAATAAACTTGTAAGTGTAGACAATAGTACCACGACTCCTGATTTTTATTATTTACTGTATTTCAATCTTATGAATAACTAGTATAACTAGTATAATTACTCGTGTAATGCAGTACTAACTGTAGTATATACTTGTGCCCTTTTAGAGGCAAGTGACTATTACTGTTTACCATATTACAATCGAACATGTGATATTTTTAGGTACCTTACCAATGAAGGTATTGAGTACTTGAGGATCTTCTTGCACCTGCCTCCTGAAATCGTACCCGCAACCCTCAAGCGTTCCGTACGCGCTGAGACCGTCCGCCGCGGCGCTGTTGGCCGCCCAGACGCTCCTGCACGCTCCGCTGAGGACCGATCAGCATACCGCCGTGCCCCAACCACACCAGCTGCCCATGACAAGAAGGCTGATGTCGGCCCTGGATCTGCTGATCTTGAATTCGTAAGTATTAAGTAAAACAGTCACTAGAATCATTACTCAACTGTTAAGGAACTATTGATGGTGTTTGTTCATTATTAAGTTATTGGTATTCATTACAAATATAACATCGATAAAGATAAAACAGTAGATTAAATGCTCACTTACAATTAACATCAGTACAGTACAGCTAGGCTAATCTGTAGTTTTCAATTCAAAAACCTATATGAACTCTTATCGATATTAGTATATCGAAATGATAATTATTTTCAAATCTGGGTTGATTGGTTCACTTAAGAGTTCCTAGAAGGTGTCTTCATGGCTACTGTTTTGGATAAATGTAATACTTTCTATTTGTTAGTACTACCTACTTGGATTTTTCTAATGATTGTTCTTTTTTGTTTTTACAGAGAGGAGGTTTCGGACGAGGCAGGCCTGCACCTTAAGTTTAAGTAAATAAAAATCTAATGTAAAGCTTATGAATTTTATTTTAAAATAATATGAAACACACTAGGTAAAACTAAGTGGAGCAGCAAGAAGTTGTCTTTATATGAACACAAGTCACAAGCTAACCCTTGAATACTGAAAGACTACTTAATTTTATGTTGTACATAAATATTTTGGGCCATTGTCATTATACAAAAATTTGTAGTCCCAAAACTATACTTGGCGCGACCTAAAACTGAGTGGCGTTTGAGTATTTGGACATAACTACTAATTAGTGTATACAATTGAGATGTCACAAGAGGTCTCAAGTTTGGTTCCTGGATCTCATTCCTGGTCCCAAGTTGGAATTGAGATTTTACGTATTTCAAAAAAGTGTAGAGCTGTTATTATTTTCCCTTAACAATTCATGCTATCATTAAGAAATGAGAATTTCGAAATATGGTTACTGTCCTCACCTGGAATCGAATTCATGACCATGCATAGCGGTCAGTCATGCTGGTGTTAAGTTACTTACCCACTGACTGGGCTTGCTGGGTAATAATAAAACTCGGAAAAGAAACAAAAAATAATTTATTCAAAATAATCTACAAAATTCCTACAGGGTATAACAACCCAGTGTTGGTATTTAAATTATTTCCTGAGTTAACATGATTTTATATTTACGTCATTTGATATTTTATTTTTGAACTCTTGGGTTTGGTGGTGTAGCGAACTCTCCAATCTTGGCTATGTAGTACTGGTAAGCTCGGAATGGCTTCAGTTCCCATGGCACCTGATCTTCCATTTTTGTCAGAGTAACACCGAGGTCTTCCAATGTAGGAAGGCTATCATCAACCATATCAGTTGTAGATTCCTGTAACACAAGAATTATTCTACATTTAGATATGTGTAAACTGTTGCAATTAGTGACAGCAATGTTTTACCAGATTTTTGAGATTTCATATTAAGTAATCATCATAATCACAAATCATAAGTATCTACAATAGTTCTATGCGAAACGGGGACTGTCTTGGGTGCATTTCCATTGTGCATACAGGGAGGGTCGCCGGTTTGTGTATCCATTACATACTTGTCTAAAGGGCCTCTGCGCAGTTGGCTTCGGCCCCTCGTACGCCTCTTAAATATAATATAGATATAATAGACGGACCCTGTGGTCTCGTGAATGGTAAAGTAACTAGTTAATGTTTCGTATGGTGTGCGTTTTTTTATTATAGCGAAGCGCGAGCATAAAGCGAGATGATGGAGGGCGAGCATCCGTATAGCCTCCCTCGTTGATATTCCGAGTGCTTGAGGTACATTGTGAGTCTAGACGGGCCATTGCAACTAGGATATACTGTTGATTTTATCGTGCTCGTTGCCCTTGTAGCGTCGTATTCGTTATTCACTGTCAATCGGGATACCCCGAATACGAATGCCCGAACACCACACTCGGTGACGGGTTTTAAGGTACATATATGTATTTAAAAGCATAAATATCATAAAGTAACAAGTTTTAATACCTTTTCAATTGCCTCCCAGTGCAGCCCACCCAATGGGTAAGATGGTGAAATCAGGTTTACAAGCTTGACTTTTAGGGGGAATAAGACAGGATCATATTTCATGTCGTAGCGTTGGTATCCCCAGTATTTTTCATCTTTGCGCATTAGTGCAAAGAACCAGTCGACCAGATCAGCTAACAGGTACCGTTTAGGTCTAAAAAGAATAATTTGAAATTCTTGAAAATGTGTTTTCATCACAGATAAAAACGTTATTTTATTCATATGTATAAAAATAATTTATTTACCCAACCGCTTGGTAAACCTGGCATCTGGTATCGGGATCGCGAATGGCGTTTACTATACCCTGAGCAACATCTGACACGTAAACAGGCTGTTTTATGGTCTCCAAGCCATTCTTGTACAACGCCATGTACTGTCCATTGATACGCGTAGGTGAAGCAAATGTTCTGTAATTGAAAAAGGATTGAATTAGGGTGGAATTATGAAATGAGGCTTTTAGAAGCTACTAACCCAACCTAGGCAACACTAATCCTTTTGCTTAGGACTACATAATACATACATTTTTAAATCCATACAGTGAATAAACCATCCATCCAGTTAAGAGCAAATAGATAGAATTAGATCTATTGCTTTTTTACAGGATAAGTCGGTAAACTGGGATTAGGAATTTGAAGATTGTTACTGATTCGGGATTGAGGAGATTTTTGTAATTGAGCCAATGCTAACCTTTTCTTACTTTTTATTCTTCCACATATGCACAATTGGCTATTATGATACTACTTCATTATAAAGTTTTACCCAAGTTATATCTACAACCAATGGTACTGTCCCTGTACTGAATCAATCTTTATGATGTGTTTCTTAGAATAAAATATAGCAAAAATATAATATTGGCTAAATGAGTATGATTGGAAACTAGTTTTTCAGAGGAATTTATTAAAATACAATATTTTGTTTGCAATACCTCAAAAATCGATCTTCACTGCCGTAGATGTCAGAAGCACGAATGATGGTAGCAGTAGGGAACTCTTCCCTTACGGCACACTCTCCCCAGTACTTGCTGACCTTGTACATGGAGGGTGTCTTCAGCACCAGCGGTCTAGGTTTAGGTGACGCATTCAGGTAGGACACATGAATGAATCTCTCAACACCCATTTCCCGAGATATCCTGTAAACATATAAAAAAATATAAATAACTAATTTATAAAAACATATAAGTTGCATCCTTAATTCTAATTAGTGTAAGCGTTCATGTACACAGCACCGCCGCCACCGCGTTTGCTCCCACTGTTTGATTTTGGGACCTTTAAGGGAATGGAGACACGTGGTGACGATGCGGCGGCGCCGCATATTCACAGTGTAACTTAGAGGCCATGTGTATGAATGATAATTAATTTATTTATTATATATAATATATATATAAATTGTAGAGGTATGACTAAAGTGTAAACTTTCTATATCTGAGGAATGGTTTCAGTAACATAATTTATTTTTATTAGTGTACACAGTGGTATTACAGATAGTTGTATACCTGGCAAGGCGCCTTGGTCCATCTACATGCACATCCTTGTATTTAAAGTTCTTGGTTTCATAGTCTCGTCCCACTAAGTTGATGACAACATTGGAGTACTGCACAGCTTTAGCAATGGACTCCTCATCTCGGAGGTCATAAGGTGTGAACAACACCTGGCCTAAATCTCCAGCCACTTTCAATCGCTGGGCATCATAGAAATCACTTCGGTAAGGCAGGATCATCTGAAATAATTCATTCCTTTTGAGGCTTTTGCATTTTATTGTTGACAAGTGGAACAGTTAGACATTTGTTTTCTTTTAAAATATCTATTAAAAGTGAAGTCACTAGTAGGTTATATTGTAAATATCACATCAAAACAATTGCACCACAACAGCTGACCTGTGTTCCAGTCTTGCCCAGTTTATTGCAGACATAGCGTCCAACAAATCCAGTGCAACCAAACACTGTTGCCACAATTCCATTGAAACTACAACGACCTCCTGTGCCCCGCTTGTACGCAGCTATGTTAGGCTTACTCCCATCTGAACTGTATGAGGCAGACTTGATGTAAACAACGCTAAGAGGCCCAACAGTGGCTGAAATTGTACATTGTAGAGTTCAAGTAAATGTTGATCACTATCTGAATATAAAGTGCGATAAGTTCTAATAAGACTGAATCTAAATAGGGTTATTATGAAGCTTTTAAACAAATTATGTAAGAGTTAAATCAATCAATAGTAGCAAGTCTTTTAACTTCCGATTAAACTTACGCTTTATTTTAGTGGCAAAATGGCCTGTGAGAGCAACAGTTGCCATTTTCAGGCCAATAATATAATGATCTTAGCAGTATTTTATCTCAAACTCCCATCAAGGGGTGAGAAAGAACCAAAAACTATAATTTTAGCGAATCCTTCGAACACAAACGTCACTCAAATTTGACTTTGACTGTTTTGACAGTTTACAAAACACAGATAATATTCTTATATTATTACACAATAATATTTCTTTATTCTGCTGGTTTCTAAATTACCTTGGGAAAATATTGAATTTCTTTCATTGCGTAATCAGATTTTTTCGATATTCATATGATATTTATCATCACTTCAGCCAAGGGTAACTAATTTTTAGTTGAAACTTACATTAAAAACCTATATATCATAACCGATATAGCACTGCTGGAATATTCGATTGGAACGTCACTATTTACAAAATGCAAAAAATTGGTAACACACTGAAGAAATGTCAGTGTCAACAAAGAAAAAGTCTGTCCGTAGTCTTTGGTCAAAAATACAATCAATTTTTATGTTTTCGTGCCATCTCGGAAGCTTGTAGCTGAGATATAGTATCTTTATTTCAACTTGGAAGTAGCACGTATTGATACTATTGATTCTAATCTATTAGTATTCAAATTCATATACAAAAACCATGACGTTATTCTGAGTGTATTGTTTCAATGTGAATCAATAATAGTAATCCAGGAAAAGTTACGATCTAAAACAGTTTAAAAGTGAATAAAATCCTTCTAACATGGAAGAACATGAAATTGAAAGCCTCAGTACTAATAAGAATGTAGAAGAGGTCTGCCAAATAGTACAGAACTTCCTGAAAAAAGTAAGAGTTGTAGATATAATTAGATTAGAGTGAAACTTCTTAATGGATAACTACTAATGTAAATATTTTTTTAATTTTCAGAATGAAAATGCTTTTACCTTCCCTAACTTGGCAGAAAAGAATCAAAGAGCTTTGTTATGGACAGCCTTGTTTCAACGTTTACAAGACAAGTCATCAGGATCAGCCCATGCTCTTTGTTTAGCAGCAATAAGAGTATTGAGGTTTGTAATATATTATAAAAATTCCATACATTCCATTATAGAATAAATTTACAATCTTACAATTATGTTTACTTCCAGCCGAGATAAAACTGATCTTGAAAACTTGATCTGTGAAAAATGGATAACAACACTCATAGAAAGAGCAGGCTTATATAATTTCGAAGCTCTTGATGAAGAGGCCATGGTGCCACTAGAGATAATGGAGAAGGATGTTGCAGTTGAGGCATTGAAATGTCTTTGCAACTTGACTTTCAACAGTGAAGTGGCCCGAGCTCTCTGTGCCCATACATCTATTGCTCAGGGACTAGTAGCCCGGCTGAGAATCTACAGAGATATGCCTTTCAAGGAAGAAATCATGCTGTTTGACTTAAAATTACTGTTTATCCTCACTGCTCTGAGGCATGATATTAAAACTAAAATAAAAGATGAACTTCATGGTATGGAATACTTGATTAATTGTCTGGGGGAAATATTGACAGAGGCTTCTAATGCTGAAGACCAGGCTTCTAGTAGTAGTGGCTTGGTTGAAGGGGCCCATCACTGTTTTCTACAGGTATGTGTGAATTTAATTTAAACTACCTATTCAGCATCCTTTGGTTATTTTTAAGGTATATAGGTATTTATGAATAAGCAGCCGTATATATCAGATAATTTATTATTTATTCAGGACAATCAACAAGCCATAGTCTGTGAGATTCTCAAGACCCAGTTCAATTTGATCCTGCAATCTGGCTCTGAGGAACCAACAGATGAGGAGGAGGAGGCTATGTACTTGAAACTAATGCCAGTGATGACTGCCCTCCTCTATGCTCATACTTCCACAGAGGAGAAACTCATGGAGTTGCGCAGCAATATTGCTAATTTGCTTACAAGGTATGTTTGCTATGACCAATCATCATCATTGTCAATGGCTCTTGATATAAGAGGGTTTACCATAGCTCTTGGCTGGTGGCTACATTTGTCCTTAAATTTGCTGTTGCAACATTTGCACAAAGAGTAGAAGTAGTGTTAAATGTATTGTACTCTGCCATCACCTCACAGTACTTTAAGAAAGATAAAATAGTATAATTTATCTATTAAAACTGTTTTCCAGTGTTCCTCCAATGTTTTACCCCTATTTGACTCCGGAGCTTGCTAAGGGAGAAAGAGCACAGTATGAGTATGACGGGAGGAATATGGATGCATTGCAAGCTCTCATACTACTGTTACAATACAGGCTCACAATAACTACAGTAAGTAACAATATTATTAAACAACAATGTGTACTCATCTATTGAATGTATTTCACTCTACTGTTCATTTGTTTTTCTTTTTTTTTTTTTAAAAAAAACATTGCCCCACACTAGGATTTTCTCCTGTGTCGTGGGTGCGTTTACAAACATACAAGTTCACATACACATCACACCCAGACCCGAAACAACAATTTGTGGATCACACAAAGTGTTGTTCCGTGCGGGAATCAAACCCGCAACACGTTGTACGGCAGCCGGTTGCCCAGCCACCGCACCAACCGTGCAGTCGTACATCTTGAATAATCTTGACTTATTAAAAGTGCACTATCTCGTTAATATATAAAATACACATATTTCAGGGCACCAAAAATCAGTATGAAAACCTGTCGCCAATACTGACAGTGTTGAACAAGAGTTCACGTGGATGTCGTTCCCAGAGAAAGTACCTACGTCAGGTGGTGTTGCCACCCCTTCGTGACGTGTCCCGTCCTCCCGAGAAGGGCAATACCCTGAGAAACCAGCTCTGCAGGCTTCTAACCACACCAGTTACGTCAGTCAGGGATTTGGTTGCCGAGTTTCTATTTATTCTGTGTAAAGAAAAAGGTTTGTTTCTGAAAAAGATCTATTGGTGTGAATGTTAAAAGGAAACATAAATTATTATTTATTTTCCTTATTTGTAATTTGCTTAAGCGAAGTTAATATTTTGCGAATGTGAATTATTCATTAATTTAATACTTATTTTTAAATAGTAAATCAATCAATGCGAGGGTGCATTGATTGAGTAGTATTTCTTCCCCAAGGTCAATTTTTCTCATTATTATATTTGTACCAAATATAACAGCTATTATAATCTATGAATCGGAAAGTTCCATTAACTGTTTTTGTTAATAGTGGGCCGGATGGTGAAGTACACTGGTTTTGGCAACGCGGCCGGTCACCTTGCACAAAAGGGGCTTCTAAGCGGCGGCCGAACTGGCGACTATTCGTCTAGCAGTGACGACTCAGACACCGAGGAATATTTGGAAGCACAGCCGAACATTGACCCCGTCGTGGGGTGCACTCGACCTCCTCGCATTAACCCCTTTGAAGGAATGAGTGATGAACAGGTAATTTAATCTTAAATTTATATTTTGTCTCAGTGTCTGTGGAATTTTATGTTACTAGCCATAATGTATCGTGCATCATTTGCGGTCAATGCTAAGTATTAAGTAGCAATCCAATTAGTCATGCACTACAATACTGAAGGCACCTATTCATACTAAAGACAAAATGGTCTAGCTTCTCTTAAAAAAACTATTTCTTTCCGCAGAAAGAGTATGAGGCGATGAAATTGGTGAATTTATTCGACAAGATGGTGACTGAAGGTGTGATGAAGCCGGCTCGTATTGGACCGGACGGTCGCCCCCAAGCTGTGGAGCATGTGCTTGAGTTAAGGGAACATCCACCGAACAGACCACAGTCCTAAAGAAACGGGATAACAACGCTAAGGAATTCAACATGCGGTACCTTGTCGTATTTTTGATGCGCTATGGTATAGGCAACAACAGGAGTATGGCGACGTCAATCGAACGAATTCGACTGTTGATCCGGATCGCGCATTAAAATTCGAAATTATCTTCCCCATAGATGGATACGTAATTATTCATCTGGATTTGGATGACGTCAGAAATGCATTTGGAGGAATTTCAAAATTCAATATTCTTATATGGCCAAAGTGAGAATAGGAAAGAAGGGTTGAAACTACTTCCAATTAGATACTCGATTGAATTAGGCATTTAGATTAGACATTTGGGATTTATAGTGCATGTTGAATAAATAGGTTTCTTCAAGTTAGTATTTTGATCTTCGATTTATATTGAATAGCAGGTAGAATTTAAATGAATTTTTAAATAGTAAGAGAAATATATTTTTATTGTATTGAGGTTTGGTGTAGCGAGGATTTTGGCGAACAAATGAGAACTAAGTCATGTGGAATGCGAAGGTATGAAATATCAATGATCATGTAGATTAGTTTGTAAAGTAGCATAATAATTGCCAGCCTAGCCTTAACCAATCTGATTGTATGGAGCAGGCTGTTACTGCCGTTACTAGAGCTGCCTTAGGTTCGATTAATGTACTTCTACAATTTTTTAAACTCTTTGTGATGTATTCGTTATTTGTAAGTATATTATTGTGTGATATCATTAGACAAATTACATATTTATTTTATTTAAAGCGGGCCATTGGAATATCGTACAGATTACAGTGTTCATTTTAGCGAATTTTTAGTAAAACAAATCAATATTCGATTGTTATTGATTGCATGTTGTGACTAGACGACGTAGGGACCTGTAGTGGCCTAAGATATATATTTATCGTCATATATTTTGTGTCATTAGTACATACTAAGTAGAACACGTGGTTGCGTTACTTATGTATTTGGAATTACCAAAGTATTTCTTTATAATTCTTCAGTGCAATATAGCTTGTTAATAGTACGCGTATTACATTAAAGCTTGGATTCAAATGAACACCTGACATCGAGTAAAATGTTCTAAAATGTATTATGTAGCTTTATTTGACATAGAATTTTTGAAGATTCGATATATTCATTCGATGTATTGAAATACTATTTCGTAGGAATTATTCAGTAATTAGTAGGATATTTAAGTATTTTATTGTAACAAAAATCTGTTAATATTATGTTTTTTAATGTAATGTTATTACAATTTTAGTGTTTGGTATTTATTTATTAATGATGAAATAAATCTATTTAGAAACTATTATTGTTTATATTAATATGTGTCAATCCGTCTATAGCCACAGATCATAGCAGTTTTTTATATAACCGACTGGGTGGTAATTCTCAGCACTGGCAAAGATTTTCTAATTAAGTACTAATTCATCATATTGTGAGAACTTTACACCGTTCATTGATGAGAATTTTACCCCAAGAGGGAGTGGGACTGTCATTAAGGGTCTAATGATAAAGATCCTTTTCTAAGACGTGTAATTGTTAAATGAACCCCTCTACGGTATACAGTAACTACTTGTGTTTGGGCTTGTATAATTTGTGTTGATTAGAACTTTGCCTATGCGGATTTTAAATGGCAAAACGGGTCTATGTAGAGTAAAAATTATAAAATAAAAAAATAAAAACTGCGTTAAAAAACAGACTTTAAAAATCCTAAAAACTAAAAAGCTAAAAATAACTATTATTAGTAGTGACAGGTAACCCACCCACTGATAAGCTCATATCAAAATGATATAACTTAATGGTCACAAAATCGTCAACAAAATAATATTAGATATCTATTAAGGTTTTAATGAATAATTTTGTTTACAACTTATGGTGCTGTCGTCTAACCTATCAGTGGGTGGGTAACCTAACAGAACTAATAATAGTTATTTTTTGCTTTTTATTTTTATACTTTTTGTTAGTTTTTGGGTTTTTTGAAGTAGGTATTTTAAACGCAGTATTTATATTTTTATCATATTTTTAACTCGAAGTAAAAATTTTTGTGGTGTTGACTAACAGTCTTCTCTTCTGAAATAATAACGTTAGTAGCGAAACGTGCTTAAACCATATGTACCTATTACTTACACATCTCCCACTCGTTCCAAAATAAATAGTGTGATTTATTTTGAATTATGATACGTAGGCAAATGTTAATATTCCTTTTAACATTTCACTACAGGGGTTGGGTAGTCGCAAGTGCAACTACCAAGCAAGATGTCTTGGGTTCAACTCCCGGGACACCACAACATACATTGCTCGAAATTTCGGTGTTTTTTTCAGTAACAGCAGTGGCTTTTTACTTTAAAGTTCACCCGTTATTAAATACTTAACTAGTTTTATAACATAACTGGTCAAAAGTGGTGTTTCATTTAAAACAGAGACATCTGCCTATCCCTTCGGAGATTAGTCATCACGAGACTCGTAAATGTGTTGATAGCGGACATAAAGTTCGAGGTACATAAAATATTCAATTGACAAGAGCAATCCTAAAGAAAGTTACTAAATAAATCTCTCTTGAAGGGATATATTTCATAAAATCATAAAGGGAGCTTTAAACCGTACATCGGGAGATGGCATCTATCGATCACAGTTCCAGTAACTATTACTTGTATACATAGTGTACACGTAGATATGGCGGCAGTGCAGCATTGATTGATGCTCTGCACAATACCCCAGAGAACACGAGCGCATCCGCGCCGGACAGACACGCGCGTTGAAAATCAATTACAAGCAATTATTGGGTAAGCAAGCTCACCTATAGCGGACGGGAAGGGTAGGAGCGAAAGGTCGTACATCCCTATGTATGTAGTTGTGTCCCGACTCCCGGCGCCAAGCGCCAACTCAGTCGGCTCTCGCAGGGCGGGAATACAGGGCGGCCGCTTGTCGCGCTCCGTGCGATTGCGCTTGACGAATTCGCGAAATGGAATTATTGTGGGTATCATTAATTATTGCATTTCATACGGATTTAATTAACATTATTGCGTCTATAATATCCTCCACTAATTAGCTTATTATCAGAAGAGGGTTCGGTCCGCGATTTTTACCTCTCTTTGTTTAGTTATGACAAAAGATCTATACTGAAATATATTTTCCGTGTATGAATGTTCAATTTGGGAATCGATTGCTTGCACTTTTGTCCGGAGCTCAGGTGCACATGCGTGGAATTTTTGTTTTATTTCTTTCCAACATCCTGATTTTTATTATTTCTATTTCTGCGTTAACGTAGTTCGTGATACTTAGATACATAAACTTTGTAGAAAAGTGAATTCTTTACATTTATTTCTGCCGGAAAATTCGGAAATGATGTTACTAATAAATTATATTTACTACATACCTATCACTATCAATTACTGTACAATCCGAGGAGTAGGTTACTAAAATTAATAAAACAATAATAGTTAATTAAAATAATTAAGATTTAAGTAAACAGGTGTACCTAATTAAACATACGGACCGACTTGTAAGTAATTCTTGTGTTTCATTGTAATAAGGTACATGAATTACATTTGATTCGCCACTCGTCTTGCAATGATTTACTAAGAGATGTCTCTATTGCTCACAAAAGGCGGGAAGTCTCCTTAATAGACGTAGCCAGTCAGTCAGTGTCCCATTCGTCTAACAACGGGACGCTAACTAAAGGAACACATATATTGCTATCAGGTATACTTCGTAGGAATAGAAACTGACCTACCCCAACCTAAAAACTTCAACCCGCTCAATGAAAGTAAAATTCTTTCAAAGTTCCCACTTTCGAGAAGGTATGTGGTGTAGCCGTTGGTGAACCAAGAGGTTGATTTGATACCTATGCACTTAAGTAACGATTAAACTCACTTGAGTTATGATTTGGGAGGTCTGCGGTTATGAAATATCTACCTATTAATTTATCTAATAGAGATCATTAATTTTTGCCTTTAGAATAAATGCCTTATGACAAGAGCAATAGTTTGGAACCAAATATAGTTGCAAAATCGAAAGTGGCAATATTCATTTAAGCTACGGTTTGTACCTTCGTCACTCGTGCTAATTGCTATGTAAGAAGTAGGTAATTATTATCTCTTTTAAATCTATTAAGCACATTGTTTCTACTCATTAGATATGTATGAGTATGAATAAAGTACGAAATGGTACGAAATGGTACGCGTGGGTAAATAGCTTAAATGTAGAATTAGGTAATTTATAGATTTTTACACATAGTAGAGACTTGCAAACATAAACCCTGGCTACTAACGGTTGAAGACGTAGTTCCGGGTCATTAAATTTTGTTAAACTTGCTATATAGATGGATATATTTATTTTATTAGTGGTTATTAGAAAGTATTGTTTATATGCTAGTGGTTTGGTGGCGCTGGTAGCCTGCGCGTCGGCCGCCGTGCCGGCAACTGTGCCGACACCCACACCGGTAACTAAATGTGAACGGGCGCCTGCTCATGCTTCACCCTCTGATGAGCACTACCGCATCAGCGTTTCTGGCGAACCTGATTTATTCCTGCCTGGAGAACTGTACACAGGTATTTGCAACTTCTTACATGCATACTGAGACGGTTGTTGATGATTGTCTTGAATGAAGATTTATACAGGATAGGGTGATTAAACTCCCTGCCATTGTTTCTAGTATCACTTCAAGGCATAGATAGTGGACAAGGACCCACGCCTTTCATAGGATTTACGATATGGGTCGAAGTAAAATCCGACCAACCCAAAATCGATAAGGCCACGAACCAATCTAATGAAACTAAGGCTGCTAACCTGACGCTGGGTACGTTCCAAGCGTATGATGCTCAGGCGAAGATTGTCGAAGTCTGTTCCCCGTCCGTTGATAATGCTACTGCACATCCCAAGACTGAAGTTCAGGTTAGTATCCATTCAAACTCTACTCTAAAGTTCACCGTGGGGTCGTTGAACAAAAGTCATTTGACTTTGATAGGAATTGATAAAGAGGTATGTAATGGTATCCATGTTATGGCAGG